TGCTATGTACTGTGCGAAATCAATCGATCTTGCAAGAATACATTTTTGGACATCCCTCTTCTAAGAATTCCAATTGAGTGTGTTAGTGTGGCCAGCTCAGGGCAATATGATATTATAAACACAGCACATATCACGTCTCTGCTGTTTATAACTTCATAGGAAAGAAAACACGCCATTCATAACAGATTGAACGACTAAACCTCTCCCAAGAGCAACAGGAACTTTGCTGCAAGACAGGCATATGTAACGATGACTTAGCGCACCTAAACAAATGCCTCATTATATATAGTACTTTTGACAACAGGCCAGCGAAAAATTTAACAATCTACAGCAAAACCATCAATTATTATGGGCGTTATAACATACGTGTGCAGCTGGACGAAACATAGACGTCGAACCCCCCCCAGACGATTTAAATACCCGACGAAACATACACGTCAAACCACGCTGAACGGTTAAATAATCTAAGAATCAACCAACTATGCAACTAAATGCCATGTCACTGCCTTACAACACACTGTGACCTATCTATCTTCACCTCATAATTCATGCTTGTCTTTAAATCTTCATTTTATCACTCCCAAGAATAGCATGGTCAACAGAGAGTTGTGAAATTATGAACTGAATACTCACTTCTCTAATATCCTCTTGCTCTGTGCTGAAGTTCAGATTCTTGATGAAGAGAGTGGTGTCTGGCTCTGGGGGTTCATCTTCATCAGATGAATCATCACTGTTTTTACCTGTGTCTGCTAAGGCATTCTCATTGCTGCAGCTATCATTTGCTAGAAATATGAGACAGTATAAGCACACTGAAATATATGACGGCTGTTCAAATGAAACTTATTCAAGGGTGTAACTGAATGATAGCTGTTGGTACTGCTTGGATGCATTCTGCACTTAAAATGCTGGCATTAATTGTGCCATACCATTTCTGTTTGCTCTAACTGGCTGTTCTGCTGCACACCCAGTGGTCAACTGATCACCTCAGACTGCTAGCAGTGCTAAGAATGGGTTTCATCCAAACAACATACATTAATATTAAATTTAATCAGATGACAGTAAGCAGATTATGAGCAACAGAGATGAAGCATCTGCATAACATTAAGACACAAACAAGAAGTTACAAGATAATAAATTGGGACATTAGGCAAGATCCAAAAGTAGAAACACAACATAGAAGTTGCCAAAATTTTGGAAAGAGCATTATGGATATGACAGTGGAGACTGGTTGTAGAGAAGGCCAAGGCTCACCCAGGGCTGTAGCTCCAAATGGTAGGTAGGTATTATGGATATGAGTTACGCATTGATGGCAACAGGATTCTTTTGAGAATATGAAAACTGAAGATGCTGTCTAATGCTACTGTTGTTGCTATATTTACATTTACTGTGCTCCAATGTCTTGTCCTCTGTGCCTGGTTTTGATGGTGGCGATAAGAAGGTATCAGATGGAGCCCATTCCAGGTAAAGTGGAAGATGTTTAAATTTCGTATATGCCAATTTTGTGAAGGCAGTCTTTGCTTCAGATGGTTCTAGAAACTCAATAATGGCTGCAAAAGAAAACACATCAATGCTGAAAACAGACAATACCAGTGTTAAACCTAGAAGTTATATTGACAAGGAAAGGTTATTTTATAATTAAGTACATATGCTGTAAGATAAATTGCAAATACTCTAATGAACAAGGCTAGCCACCACAGCCAGTCTAGCCATATAAATGGCACCGAACACAGGTACATGATATGTTGGTACTTGTGTATGAACAGTTTAAAGCATAAAATGCACAAGAAATTGAACCATTAAAGACTTAACATCCTCTTCTTTACTACAAAAATTATAATGCATTGATACAGTGTGAGATTAAAAGGTTTAGCCATGAGTTCGGATCAGTGACCTCCACTAACTGGACTTACCATGTGGCATTACAAACAGGATCCCAAAATCATTCAACAAGCAACTGAAGAGAGGCACAATGGGTTAATGCATCTCTAGTATGCCCTACCTAAGTGATTTTCATAATCCAAAATTTTATTTGTCTCTGAAGTGTTACACATGTGGTAACTTCTGGTACTGTGAATGCAACAACAGATTTCATAAATATGCTTGAATGTGCTTTGGTTCACCGTTTCTTGAGAGGCTGCATTAAACAGACAGGCTAACTAACTAACTAACTAAATAACAACTAACTCCATGGAGATGAGCCCTTCTTGAGAAGCTGTCAATTGTGTAGCTATTCAAGAATTTCCCATCATTTTAGGGAACCCAAAGACTCATTACCATGTTCATAAGAGCCCTCCACTGGTCTCTATCCTGAGCCAGACCAATCCAGTCCATAACATCCCATCTGGGGCATGCAGTAGCATAGTTGGCTGAGGCATTATGCTACAAGCCAGAAGGTCACGGGTTCAATTCCCGATGAGGTCATCAGATTATTTCAATTGATCTAATTCTTCCATCTGCACTATGGCCCCAGGGTAGATGCAGCCTCTGACTGATGTGAGTACCAGGAATCCTCCTGGGGGGTGAAGGGTAGCCAGTGCATAAGGCTGCCAACCTCACCGCCATTTGTGAGCAGATTGTCTAGAAAATGTGGCAACCTTGATGTCTCACAACCCCATGTGCCTTCACAGTCTGTTACAGGGACAGCTTTACCTATTCTCTATAATCAATTTTAATAATATTCACTTACATGTCTTGGTCTTCCTAGTGGTCTCTTTGTTTCTGACTTTCCCAATACCCTATATACATTGCTCTTCTCCCTCAATCGTACTACATGCCCTGCCCATTTCATCCTTCTTGACTTCATCATTCTAATTCTATTATATTACATTATTATACTGTAACGTGTCGGGAAACCAGAAGAGTCACTTCTATGGAAACGCTAGAATAGACCGTTGCATTGGAAACAACAGTCGCTCCATTGTAGTTATAACAGGAGTCTCCATGGTTATAACAGAGGGTTCATTTGCATAGCAGCGGGCGAGGGGATAAATAGCCCAGCTTCGGCGAGAAGCAGTCAGTCTTTGTCCAGCCACCTAAGAAGCCAGTCTTTATCCAGCCGTCTAGGAAGGGAGTATTGGAACATCCGCCAGAGAAGAGAGTTCAGTATCGGCCGAGATATTGTAAGCAGTAATTGTAACACTGCAAGTGGTAATGATTGTAAGGTGTGGGCGAACGGAATAAATTCGCTATATCGGACAACGGCGTGAATTTATTTGTAGCGTGACAAGCAAAACACGCTACAATACCTAACATCACTGACTCTGTGTACATTCAATAACTTAGAGAAGTAGTTTTTCCACCTATTCAAAATGTTGTGAGGAATCTGCAAGCAGATCACCATTCTCATCCTTCATTTAGTTGTTTCTAGGTTGGTAAGTCCTCTTAATGTCATTTATTCCTCTATACAGGTCTCTAATGTTCTTGTTCTTACTGTTCATTTTGCATTTTGGTGACGAGACAGTACCATATACTTAGTTTTCTCTGTGTTTACTTCTAGACCAACCTCCTTACTTGCGTCAATTAAAGTTTGTGCGTTTTCTTTATGGTATCTATATTATTATCTAGTAGATTCACATCATTGGCATAGACCAAAGGCTGATGTGTCCCATTTAAGTTCAGTCCCACCGGGTTTTCCTGGACCTTCCTAATGACATATTCCAAAGCAAAGTTGAAAAGGAGTGGCAATAAAGCATCTCCTTGTTTTAGACCATTCTGGACCCTGCAACCATTGCAATTTGGCTTGTTATATGCATGCATGTACTTTTTGCGAACTAATAACTATCTCCTCTGTCTTCACGTTATTAAAACTTATTTAAATCCTAGGGTGCTAATGGTTCAAATTTTGATTCCGTCAATGACATCACAGACTACAAAAGGCACAATTTTTGTATATTACATTTAAATTTGAGTTTCTACCCCAGTTGAGCATTTGAAAAGTGAGGCAGAGACTTTTACATGGTTATGGAATGGTTAATCTTCATCCCATATACTGACTTGTTTTCACCTTTAACGAATAAAGTATTCATTACCTGTGATACCAGTAGGTGGCATCACAACTCGTCCCAGTTCCCCATACTTCATGAACAACTGCCGCATCTCTGCCACTGATGTTTTGGCAGGCAGATTTTTAGCCAGGATGACTGTTTTGGATCTCTGCTTTGGAACCTAACACAGAAACACAGACACAGCACATTGTCTCATTATTCCCATTTGTCTTCAGTTGCTTCAACATACAGTGGAAATCCCTTTTAATGTTTGTCAATTCAAGGTTTTCAGTCATTTAACATTTAATGTTAATTACACCAATTTGGTAATACCAACATTAAACTGCCTCCAATATATGACTATGCAACTTCTTGTAGTCGTTCTTGTTGACTGTAGAATAACAACAGCCGAATGTGAAGATTTAATTTGCTTTTGGTTTGATTTCAATGACAAATGAACCGCTGGAGCCAAGCTCCTGAAACTGGATACACATATACGTGATCATAAACATCTATACTTACTATTTATGAAACACTGTTTGTAAGGCAACAGGTACAAACTCTGATGTGATATCTGACGATTTAACACAGACACAGACTCTGTACTTAAGTTATTCTCATGCATAAAATTAAATAACAATAATATTGGTTAACAGATCTGTAGGATTGGAAATCTAGGTAACACAAAAGCAGATGTTGTGAATTTTGCTGGGAACTCTTTGTTTATTTATGCACTGATCTTTTGTGCAATATACCATTTTTAAGACTCTTGATATAAGCATCATATAAATTATGATTTATGCTGGGATGATACAAACCAAAGTCAAAGTTTCCTGAGAATTTTAGGTGTAGAACCCCAATCACAACTTTCATTGAACTCTGTTCCATGGTTTTCGAGATAAAGCATGCAGATGGACAACACCTGAACATAGTTTCTTCTGCACTGTTCATTTTATGCACTTCACACAAAGCACATACAATATATACTATACTTGCAAAAGTAATATAAGGACTTTATGCACTTCACACAAAGCACATACAATATATACTATACTTGCAAAAGTAATATAAGGACATATATAATAAAGAAGTTTTGTTAAAATGTATATTATGAACTATCTCACTAACTGTTTGATTCATAAAAGTAATTTTTTATTCAAATAAGCCAACGGAAATTTTCCATTGATGCAGTAGAGAGAAGAGTTGTACCTGATTGAAAGCACTGAGATGGACACCACTCTCTTCCAAAAATTCTCGCATCTGGGACACAAACTGTGTTTCTCCCAAAGCCAATCTTACAGCGACACTTTGTTTCCCATTCGAATCCAGCACCTGAAACATGTAACACCTGCAGCACTGAAACAGACACTAATACACCTCCTTGTGAAGTAATTCCCCTCCATTTATTGTCTAATTAACTATACGACGTAGAGCTTTCCTTGAGGGCTGATAATTATTGGCATTCAGCCAGTCAAGAAATTTTCCTCCTTACTGAACTCAAACATAAACTACCAGGTTCACTAAAACCTACCATGAGACCATATCCTGAGCACATCCTGACATACCTCAATCTATAGTGCTACTTTTACACCAACCTGCTCAGTGAAGCACAGCACTCATTAATGCCTGCAACTAAGTGAGCCTTATCACCTTCAAAGTACTCCTTTCTTGCAATGATGCATCGCTCCCAACACTGTTGCCATTCTGGAAACAGTCCTGGTATGCCTTTATCGGGATCATGCATATCTGTGAATCTTCCACAATCACTTGAATTGTCTGAAATTGTGGTCCTTTCAGAGTGGATTTCAGTTTGTGAAATAAGAAAAAGTCTGTCAGAGCAAAGTAAGGTGCATAGGGTGGCTGAGGAAGTACAGTTGTGTTCATGTTGGCCAAAAAGTCATGAATCAGTAGTGATGCATGAGCTAGTGCATTGTCATGATGGAGGAACCAGGAGTTGGTTCCCCACAACTGAGGTCTTTGTATCCTGATATTTTCTCTAACATTTCAGCACTTTGAGATAATACCAGCAATTCACTGTTTGCCCCCAGTGTAAGAATTCATGAGGAATAACACCTCTGATGTCAAAAAAACGTCAACATGACTCTCACGTTTGACCTGAGCTGCTGTGCCTTTTTCGGTCTCAGCAAATTTTGTCCAATCCACTGTAAAGACTGCATTTTTGTTTCCACATCGTATCCATAAACATATGTTTCATCGCTGGTTATAATTTTTTTTTCAGAAAGCTTTCATCCTTGCTAGCACATTCCAAAAGTCCCTGACAGATGGCAACATGACTGTCTCTCTGATCCTGTGTCAGAAGTCATGGTACAAACTTTGAAACTACCCCATGCAGTTCTAATTTTGTTATAAGAATGTCATGACATGATCCTATCGATATGTTGTACTCTTCAGCTATTTCCTGCACTGTCAAATGATGATTAGAACGTACAACTCCATGAACTTGCGCAACATGAGCACTGTCACATGATGTTAAGGGACATCCCAAAGCAGCTCATCACGTTGAGAGCCGACTGTCCTTAAATCTCTTAAACCATTCAAAAAAACTTGTATGGCTCATGCAATTATCACCTTAAACGTTTTCCGTCATTTCATGAGTCTCCATAAACGTTTTCCCTAGTTTGAAGCAAAATTGAATGCACTTACTCAACATTGCTAAGACATCAAGTTGGTGTGCTATCTCAAAAGCGCTGAAACTTTTTGAACAGACCAATGTGACCACTCAGACAATGTAACATACCTTTTCCTTTGTTGTGTTGTATCTCTCTGCCATTAAATCTGCTACAGCATTCTGACCCAAAAATAGTGTGTTCCAATTGTGGGATGAGGCTGCTTCAGCCTTCTTCTTCAGTAATTGCTTCTGTTTGAATGTCAGCCCTTCTACTCAAGAGAAAAACATTCGTTAATATCTCTTCCTTCCCTAACAATGTATGAAACAAGAAGACAGTTTTCATTAAACCTCATATAAACTTACCACCATGCAAGGCCACCCATTCTTTATACATAAACACTCTAAGGGCTGACTAGCTGGTTACCAGTCCTATTCGTAGATACTTTCGAAGAAAAAAACTTTTTTTACACACAAAGAAAACTTCAGCGCCTAAACTAATCCACATTTTTCAAATGGACTGTTCAGAAATATCCAAGGAACACATACAACTTACATTTAAAGACGCATTAAATCTTCAACACTATTATTACCAAAACATAATCTCACTTTTCTTTGCATAATATAGTTTCAAACAAATGTTCTTCCTATAGCAACAAAATTATTAGCACTGTTGTTGTTGTTATTTATTGACTCACTGTCACATCACTTATCACTTGTAAAGACAACACCACGCGCTGCTAGAGGGAACAACACACAAATAAGGAGCAAAACTGCAGATTGCAGACGTCACACAACAATGGGCTTATGCATAGAAAAGCAGACTGCTGCAATAAACCATATGAAGAAAAGGATAAATATCTAAACAAGTGGACGACACTCCTTGTGAGGTGTAATAAGAATTTTACAAAATTTAAAGACAATTTGAAGATTTTATTTGATTTTAATTAAGTGAACTACAGCATGTGCTATCGACTTCATACAAAATTTTATCCAATATTCTTCTCTCAAGGTTAAGTCCATATATGTATAGATGAAATTATTGGGAATCATCAGTGTGGGTTTTGACGTAACAGATCAACTACAGATCAGATCTTTGGCATTCATCAGATATTGGAGAAAAAATGGGAGTACAATGAGACAGTACATCAGCTATTTGTAGACTTCAAGAAAGCATAGATTCAGTTAGGATGGAAGTATTGTACAATATTCTGATAGAGTTTGGGATACCCATGAAACTAGTTAGGCTGATTAAAATGTGTTTAAATGAAACATATAGTAAAGTCCGTATAGGTAAACAGTTGTCTGATAAATTTCCTATCCAGAATGGTCTAAGACAAGGAGACGTTTTATCGCCACTCCTTCTCACCTTTGCTTTAGAATATTCCATTAGGAAGGTCCAGGAAAACCAGGTGGGACTGAAATTAAACAGGACACATCAGCTGTTGGTCTATGCCGATGATGTGAATCTACTGGGTGATAATTTAGATATCATAAAGAAAAACTCACCAGCTTTAACTGATGCAAGTAAAGAGGTTGGTCTAGAAGTAAACACAGAGAAAACTAAGTATAAGTTGCCATCTCGCCAAAAAATGCAGGGCAAAATTATGACATAATGATAAGAAACAGATGTTTGGAAAATGTGGCCCAGTTCAGATATTTGGGAACGATAACAAATCAAAACCTGATTCAGGAAGAAATTAAGAGGAGACTGAAATGCTTGCTACCATTCGGTCCAGAACCTTTTGTCTTCTTGTCTGCTGTCAGAAACCTTAAAAATTAGAATATACAAAACTATAATTTTGCCTGTGGTTCTGTATGGGTGTGAAACTTGGTCTCTGACATTAAGGGAGGAATATAGACTGAGTGTGTTTGAGAACAGGGTGTTGAGGAGAATATTTGGACCAAAGAGAGATGAAATGACAGGAGGTTGGAGAAAACTGCATAATGAGGAGCTTCATAACTTGTACACTTCTCCAAGTATAATTAGAATGATCAAGTCGAGGAGGATGAGGTAACCTGCGCATGTAGCACAAATGGGGAAGAAGAGGAATGCATATAGGATATTAGTGGGAATTTTTTTTAGTTTGCATAGTGGGGGTGGAGTCCAGTTCNATAGGATGGGATGGTATGGATTGGAGTGATCTGGCTCAGGATAGGGACCAGTGGAGGGCTCTTGTGAACACGGTAATGAACCTTCAGGTTCCATAAAATGCTGGGAAATTCTTGAGTAGCTGCAGAATTGGCGGATCCTCAAGAAGGGCTCAGCTCCATAAGTAAGTACAGCATGTGCTATTTTAGCGCATACCTGTTAGACTATGATCATGTTGTTTTGAATCACGAAGCATGCAGCTGCATATGTGACAAATGGATAACATTAGTGCAGTGTAGCAGTTTTAGCATAGTAAGAGACCTGAAGATGGCCACTTAGGGTAGAAACATGTTGTGTCAAAAGTGAAAGAGATAGAAAGAAGGAAAAATTGTTGCCCTGTTGATGGACTGTGTAGTACATAAACAGTTTTAGATACAGTAATGCAAGAGGATGCTTAAATACAGAAATGTTATAGTTATTGGAATTTATGACCTGTAAGTGGACAATAAATCCAATTATCCAAAATCCTGTTTATAGTCACCCTAAATCTTGACAATATAGTATATATATATTTATTTTGTTTACCCTTTTCAAGGAGTTCTTCCAAGGACTGTTTGGCTTTTCCTGGAAGCAAATGAAGCATTCGGCCATGGAATACGGAACCATCCAATTCAATGAACGCTCTGGCTGCATTCTCAGGAACAAGAAATGTTACAACAGCATAACCTTTCACCTTTCTTGTATTACGGTCCACAGGCATAATGACTTCAGTTACTGGACCTATAGAAAAAGTCTGTTTTAGTTCACGAAGCAGCTTATCCATTCATATTCCATAAAAAGTTAAAAAGGCCAGTGTTCCAGTGACTTCTGATCACTGCAATACCACTGAACATAATGAAAACTGGAATTGTGGGTGGTGGTGATGATTTCAAGCAGTGCCTATGATCAGTAGTGCCATCAAGTTACGAGGTACAGCTGACTCTACAAACTTTGGAAAGGAGGGGTAGAGAAGAACAAAAAAGACACACAAAAGGGAAACAGTGAAAACACTGTGGTGATGAATTAATGACTATGGTTATTTATGAATTTGTTTAGTTCTATATTCATATACAATTTTTTATCATTCATTATTTAACAATATTACATCAACTTCCATGGGCATAATTTTTCCCATTAATGCATATGCCATTAGATAAAATATACAAAGTGTCTTTCCAGTTAAAATCTGTCAAACATAGCAGTTTAGTTTTTAACTTTTCTGGGTAACAACTGTAAATATATCACACTTCAAATAGTAGAAAAATAAAATACATACAATAATCTCACAATAAACAAAAATAATTTATTGACAATAAAATATAGGCCTACAGAAGAGAAACTTTTCACTATCTCCTACACTTAAATTTGAATTAAGACTAAAAAATCTTAGTCTTCTGTCCATAATATGACTGTGACGCTGACTAAGTACACCTGCTTGGGGGGTGGGCCACCAATGTTGCCAGGGCAACACTGCAGCACAGTGCTTCAAATCACTCCACTGCATTTCTGGTTACTGGCTACATATTGTGGTTACTGATTTCTAGGCAGTGAAACATAAACAGCACCTTCAAATACTGCTGCATGGAAGTTCCAATGGTTCAAATCACTTCAGCACCTATCTGTCACTGTTCAGCTGCTGGGGTCTCGATAATGAAATGTAAACAGCTACTTCAGCAGTCACCACTACCAGTTCCTGTTTCAAATCACCGGAGTGCCCAGCCACAGCAAGCACCAATTAGTTACTGGTGGCCACTATTTACTACAGTTACTAAGACAGTGAACTGTAAGGAGCAACTTCAGCCATCACTGTACCAGACATTCCATAACTGGCCAAGACAGTGATTAAATCACTATTACTGATAAATCACTCATCTCTACAATATCAGCTGGATCACTAACATCCCATGTTAATTCTCCCATTACATTTGTGTCCAAATAGCTGAAGTTTATTTAAAAGACTAAATATTGCAGAAGCCACCTAAAGGAGGAAACAAACTGAGTCTAAACAAATTAAATTTGCCAGAAGCATTGACTTTCAGACAGAATACGTGTAATTAACTCCATGGAGATGAGTATTTCCTGGAAGCTATTATGTGCTCAGCCACTCAAGAATACCATTTTCACAAGAGCCCTTCACTAGTCCCTATCCTAAGCCAGATGAATAAGTCCACACACCAAAAACCTATTTCTCTGAACCCATTTTAATATCCTCCCATCTATGTCTACATCTTCCAAGTGATCTATTTCCTTCAAGGTTTCCTACCAAAACTCTTCTTTCCCATGCATGTCACATGCCCTGGCCATCTCATCTTCTGTGAACTGATTATTATACGTGGTGCATTCTAAAAGTTCCTGAAATTTGAATTTTGTGCACAATGGTTATGAGTACATCAAAATACCGCTAGGTGTCTCCCCACACACCCTTCTTGAATCAGTGTGGCAAGCGGTGTCAAGTTGAGTGGTTGGGTTTATTGTTGGTGAACATATTTCCATTGTTGTGTTTCCATGAGTTTGCAGTTTTGTGACGGCTAACCTAAGAGAGCAGCGTGTCTGTATAAAGTTTTATTTTAAACTTGGGAAAACCGCTGCAGAAGCGCACCAAATGTTGAAGCAAGCTTTTGGTAACAACAGTTTAGGCCAGACACAAACTTACGACTGGTATAAGTGTTTCAAAAATGGCCGAACATCGACTGATGATGACAATTGTTCAGGACGGCCGTCAACTGGCACTACACCAGAAAATGTTGTGAAAGTTAGGGATCTGATTCTGCAAGATCGTAGACTGGCCATCCAAGGTCTCTGTAACAACTTGGAAGTAAGTTATGGTACATGTCAATGAATTTTGTCAAGAGGAACTGAACATGAAGATTGCAGCAAAGTTTGTGCCACGACTGCTGCAAAATGAACAGAAGCAGCATCACTTGGAAGTCTGCAGAGAACTTCAACAACAGCTTCAAGAGGATCCAAACTTTCTTTTGAAGGTTGTCACTAGTGACGAAAGTTGGGTTCATGGCTACGATCCTGAAAGTAAGCAGCAATTGTCACAATGGAAGAGCCCTTCTTCACCTCGTCCAAAAAAAGCTCGACGAGTCAAGAGCAACATTAAGTCCATGTTGATCTATTTTTTTGATACTGATGGGTGTGTTCATAAGGAGTTCGTCCCTCCAGGTCAGACATTCAATAAAGAGTTCCATCGCGATGGTCTAAGGTGTTCGAGGGAGGACATGAGAAGAAAACATCCAGAGAAGTGGCGGACGAATGACTGGGTACTTCACCATGACAACGCATGACCACATACGACTTGCACTGTGCAGGAATTTTTGGCTAAAAACAAGATGGCAGTTGTTCCCCACCCACCGTACTCACCAGACTTAGCTCCATGAGACTTCTTTCTCTTCCCCAAGATGAAAATCAAGTTGAAGGGGCGAAGATTTGATACAGTTGAGGAAATTCAAGCGAAAATGCAGATGGTACTAAACACCCTAACAAGGAAAGACTTCCAGGATGCATTTCAAAAGTGGCAGAAATGCTGGGATCGGTGTATGCGCTCGCAAGGGGACTACTTTGAAGGTGATGGTGCAGAATAAGATCCAGGTAAGATGTAATAGTTTTCATTAATATATTTAGGGAACTCTTGGATTGCACCATGTAATATTTGGCAAAGAGTAACAAGTTATGAAGCTACTCATTATGCACTTTTCTCCAGCCTGCTATCATCACTCTTAGATCCAAACATTCTCCTGAGCACCCTGTACTCAAACATCCTCTTTACTACAATAGGAAGAACTGCCTCAGCAGTGGAAGAAGAATACATATAGACATAAAATTTCCGTATACATTAGATATATAATTTGAAATTGAAATTTCACAGACAATTGAAGTTACAGGGTGGTTCAAATATGACCGAGACTGATTTATGTGTAAACAAGCCGCACTGCGCAGCAGCTGTTCGACCTTGAGAGTAAAGCCACAAACTCTACCCTCCCTCCTGTTCAGGTTAGAACCTGTCCTGCCTGGGAGTTGCTAGAGTGATGAGCAAACAGAAGATACCATGGAGCATGAAACAACACATTGTGATCAAATTCCTTGTTGGAGAAAACGTCCCTTCTCCTGAAATTCACGACAGACTCCAACAACAGTATGGGGAAGTGTCTCTCACGGACCTGTGTGTTTGAGTGGTGTAAGTGCTTCAGAGAGGACAGAGAGCATGTGGAGAATGAACCACATGATCATCGGCTGCGAACACCTATCACCAAGCCAAACACTGATTGTGCAGGTGCACTTATTCGTGAGAATAGGCGCATGACTATCAACGAACTTGGAGCAATGCTGTCCATCAGTGTTGGTAGTGTAGAAGACATCATGAAATACCACCTGCATGATCACAAGGTGAATGCATGGTGGGTACCACGCACTTTGACGGACATGAACAAAATGGTGCGCATGCAAGCTGCCAGTCGTCTCCTACAGCAGTTTGAAGAAGAAGGTGATGCATTTTTGAAGTCTATAGTGACCACTGATGAAACGTGGGTGCACTACTTCATTCCCGAGTCCCAGAAGTCATCATGCGAGCGGCGGCATACCAGTTCTCCCAAACCCAAGAGAGCGCGGAGGAGCCGTTCGGCAGGAAAAGTGATGGCAACATTCTTCTGAGACTGGCAGGGGTTTATCCATGTAGACTTTCTGACAGATGCCAGAACAGTCAATGCAGCTTATTAGTCAGACCTCCTGGCAACAGACATGAAGGAAAAGATCCGGGGAGTACGTTGAAGACTGATATGTGCAAGTAAGTGTTTGGCAATTATGGTTTTAAAAAAAAAAATCAGTCCCGGTCATATTTGAACCACCTTATACATTATACAAAAAGCTTACTTGCCAATTTTGGAACATGAAGCAGAAACTTTGGCATGGACTATGAAGAATGTAAGCAGATTACAAGCAGTAGATATAGAGTTCTTACTGTAACAGTACTTCAGACAATCAAATCAAGCCCTTTTCAAAGGGTGCCTCAAAATAACACACAAAAATGTGAACTACATTAAAAGGGACCATTGGGATTAAAAAATGTACAGTCATACAATTAAATTAAACTTAGTATCAAATTCCGGCAGAACTTACTCAAGCAGGAGGTGAAATATTACGTTCTAAGATGCACAATCTAATTACTTCTATTTGGCATAAGGAAAAATTGCCTGATCAGTGGAAGGAGTCTATTATTGTACCAGTTCACAAGAATGGTGATAAAACTGACTGTAGTAATTATTGGGGGATATCACTGCTATCAACTTCATATAAAATTTTGTCCAATATTCTTCTTTCAAAGTTAAGTCCATATATAGATTAAATTATTGGGGATCATCAGTGTGGATTTCAACGTAACAGATCAACTACAGATCAGATCTTTTGCATTCGTCAGATATTAGAGAAAAAATGGGAGTACGATGAGACAGTACATCAGCTATTCACAGACTTCAAAAAAGCCTATGATTCAGTTAGGAGGGAAGTATTGTACAATATTCTAATAGAGTTTGGGATACCCAGGAAACTAGTTAGGTTGATTAAAATGTGTTTAAAAGAAACATATAGTAAAGTCCATGTAGGTAAACATTTGTCTGATAAATTTCCTATCCAGAATGGTCTAAAACAAGATGCTTTATCGCCACTCCTTTTCAACTTTGCCTTAGAATATGCAATTAGGAAGGTCCAGGGAACCCAGGTGGGACTGAAATTGAACAGGACACATCAGCTGTTGGTCTACGCTGATGATGTGAATCTTCTGGGTGATAATGTAGATATCATAAAGAAAAACACAAACTTTAATTGATGCAAGTAAAGAGGTTGGTCTAGAAGTAAACACAGAGAAAACTAAGTATATGTTACTGTCTCGTCACCAAAATGCAGGGCAAAATCATGATATAAAGATAGGAAACAGATGTTTTGAAAATGTGGCACACTTCGGATATTTGGGAACAACGACAACAGAGCGAAACCTGATTCAGGAGGAAATTAAGAGGTGACTGAACTTGGGTAATGTTTGCTACCATTCAGTCCAGAACCTTTTGTCTTCTTGTCTGGTGTCCAAAAATATAAACATCAGAATATACAAAACTATAATTTTGCCCATGGTTCTGTATGGGTGTGAAACTTGGTCTCTGATATTAAGGGAGGAACATAGATTGAGGGTGTTTGAGAACAGGGTGTTGAGGGAAATATTTGGACTGAAGAGGAATGAAGTGACAGGAGGTTGGAGAAAACTGCATAATGAGGAGCTTCATAACTTGTACTCTTCTCCAAGTATAATTACAATGATCAAGTCAAGGAGGATGAGGTGGGCAGGTCATGTAGCATGAATGGGGGAGACGAGGAATGCGTATAGGATATTGGTTGGAAAGCCAGAAGGAAAGGGACCACAGGGAAGACCAATGTGTAGGTGGGTGGACAATATTAGAATGGATCTTAGAGAGATAGGATGGGATGGTATAGATTGGACAGATCTGGGACCAGTGAAGGGCTCTTGTGAACACGGCAATGAACCTTCGGGTTCCATAAAATGTGGTAAATTCTTGAGTAGCTGCAGAATTATTGGCTCCTCCAGAATGGCTCAGCTAAATGACTAAGTAAGTATTTAAATAAGTTGCATACATATTTTATTACCATTCACCACATAAGACCAACACCATGTTGAAGAGTGACACTAAGCTATGGCAGCAATTAGTTCACTGGTGCAATTAAACTGCTTTATAAAAACTGAAGAGCAAAAACATATGATGAAATTCCTTTCAAAGTTTCAGAAATGAAAATGTCTAATAAATATTTAAAGGAAGACCAAAAAAAGTAAAACGAGTGGCTACAAATGCAAGATAAGCATTAATGGCAGGCTAGGAAAAAGTGGAAAAGGCTTTGTTATAAAATGACCTAAACTGAAGGAAGTGTCAGTGTATACTGACAACGCTGACATATCAATGCATTGTCAAATAATTAGAATACACACCATTAAACGATGTGCACTGATGGGAAAAGTAGTTTGAGCCAGACGGAGTTAGCACATAAACTTATGTTACCTGCCTTGATTGAAAGCTTTGATAGGGTAATCAAGGCAATAACCCTTCTTGCAGTCATAAATTTCTCAGCTTGTTTCCAAAAAGGAAAATCCATCTTCTAAATTAATGTATGTTCATATATCCTCTACCAACCTTTGAGTTTAAGTTATGAAATGCTTTCTTCATCTATTGAAAATTTAATGGTTTATCTATATGTGCATAAAAATGATGCAAAACTCACCAAATTTATTGAAAAGTTGTTCAACGTCATCCTCAGTGACTGTGTAGGCAAGATTTCTAACAAAAATTCTTCCAGATTCTGCTATGCATTCTTCATTCCTCAAACTTTCCTCCTGGTCCTTCCAATTATTTGTGTCCCTTCCTGTTGCTGCTTTGGATGTAGTGTCTTTCTCTATATATCTTGTTACCATTATCCTCCTTCCAGCTGTATGCAAGGAAACAAATCACTGATTCATCTTTAGATGCTGTAATATCTGTTATATAGTTAAATCCTCAACTTCAGCATCCAGGGGCTATGAACAGTTCTGTCTTCCGGGATATAACACCATGTAGCCTGCTGAAAGTCACCTGACATTGCAGAGCATCATGTCACTACAAATTCAGGGTCTAAGAACAAGCCAAGCAAGAAACCATCATGACCTGCTTAACATTGGTTTCTTGCAAGTAGCAAAATAGACACATATTAATCACTCTATCTTCCATATAGTGAGAGGCTAAAAACAACCTGGATTCACATGATCTATCACACATAGGAACCTTCAATTCCACATGAGAAATTTCCATAATTTATAATACTCTTCTAATATTTTTTAACATTTTTAGTTATTTTAGTTGTATAACATCTAATTCTTTATTCATATTCTAAAGTTCTATATTGCTATTACATAATATCTTCCAGCATATTAATTACCTTCGATAATTTTTAAATACAGTTTTTTGTATAACATTTCATATTTTAATATTGTACTTCTCATCATAACACAAGGCACAACTTCCACAACTTTTATAATATGGATCCATATTGAGAATTCAATTAACCTTGACATATTATACAATTATGTCTGATGACACTTCCATGAGGACTGAAACATGTAGCGGTACGCAATAAAAATTCAATCTATGAAATAGTGATTGACTGTAACACCATTTTTTGTGTTGATGGGTACCTTACATAACCATATGATAAGATGGGAACATATGATGAAACTTGTACTTATGTAATTCTATGCTTTCCTAAGTCCAAATATTTTCCTTAGCACTTTGTTAAACATAAGTTAAATTTGAACATAAAAAGGTAAGTGAAATGAATCACAGTACTAGATTAAGCAAGGGAAACTAGAATATAATTACAAAAAAGATTTGTACAAGAATATATTTTTCAAAAATAAATACACAAATATATGTAATAAAATTACATCTTAATAACCATATTCTATGAAGAATGACCCACTTCTTTCCGGGGAAATGTTGCCTACAATCTGCATGCATCTTAGAGTGTGAAAGTACAGCACAATTCCTTCCAAAGTATTGCCTTCTAAATTTGGACTAATCTTCTATTAAAGTGAGTCTTGCAGTCTAGAAATATGTATAAACTTACCTAAGAAGGTTAAATGCTTAATTAAAGCTTGCTTGAGTTCCTTTTCTGATCTGAAGCCAACATAAGCAATACCTTTACTTCTTGGAGGCAACCTGACACTTTTAGGTTTCAGGGGGTGAAAAAACAGTTTCACATCTTTCTTCTTAGCTTTGTATGCCAATCCTCTGATTTTTACTGTAAAAAACTGAGTCGATGGAGTTTGTGACTTATTCTCATTTTTTTGCATACAATCAGTCTCCTTTTCATTCTTTAAATCATCATCTACTTCAGCTTCTTTCACAGTTTTCATCTTCAAATACTGAAATGAACATAATACATAATAAAACTGGAAACACAGGGTATACACGTGATATTTCCAAGCTTCTTCTCTGTGTAAATGAATAAATAAATACATTGAGTATGCATTTTACAGTATTTTGTCTAGAAGCATTCATGTCAGACATGTACCTCTTTCAAAGAGAAAAATCTCTTGGAATTGATTATAAAGAGGTTCATTGTAAAATAAAAATATATTATTTTAGGTAATACATAATTTGTTTCAACCTTGAAAAGTGCATGATTTTATGTGTGATCTCTGACCCTACATCCTATTTCTGACAGACCTCAGCCCCCAATAGCATGTTCCTCACTCAATACTCAATAGCTAAGACAGGGATATAACCTCCTGTAGTGGCACCCCCTCGTTGGTGTCTCCACCTTATCGTGGTGAGGGGGTTTGAGCATGCCAAGGACCCTGAGAGCTATACCAGCGGTAGCGTAGCTACTGGCAGGGCCTCCCTTGCTGGACAGGTCAAAGGGTAGGCATCAGACGAAGAGAGACACCAAAAACTGATGCCGGAGGCAGCGTCATCAGTAGCGACTTGAAGCACAGAGCAAATGACGCTCGAGATGGTTCAAGTTCGTATAGCAGCAGGCGTGACCAGAGTGGTTTGAATGGCTGCTGTACTGCGATGTGGAAAGCAAATGGAAAAACTACCACATTATCACTTTTCCTGGATAGTCTCTTTCCAACAGAGAGCTCTAGATCGCATTAAATGGAGGAATTGTTTTGGAAGAGACTGTGGACCTGTCGTCTTGACAGATTACTGATGATGATGAGTGGCACAGGAATATGGTATGATAAATTTCAATACCTTCAATACATATAAGTGAATCTCTAAAATATAAAGAATTGTTTCAATCATATACAACTGCCATATGCAAGAGAGAGATTTAATTATTAACTGCAGTCTACAAGAGAGGAGGTTTGAAATTATGCCCTTTGGTTATATAAAAGGTCAAAAATTATATTTCTTACATATATATATTTCAGAAAACCATACCTCTAGATCAGATATCCTTTTCTTGGCAACATTGTTCTCAATTTCCTCTTTTTCATTTTCAGATTCTGAAATGTCACCACTTTCATGACCTGAATCACCATCTGCATTTAACAATTGCTTTCTGCCAGGCCTTATGTTTCTCGAGTCTTCATTCACCAATGTATCATTACTCCATAAAGCTTTGTTGCCCTTTGCATGAGTCTCCATAAACTCAATAAACAAAGGGTCATTTTTATGCTGAAACAATAATCATATTAAAAATATCTGGTCAGGTTTTAGCACATTCACTCCACTGTCCTTGTAGTGTTAAATAAATAAGAAGAGACAATGAAACTTCAAAGGGTGATTTTAATATATGGATGAAGTTGCACAGTCGGTGATGTGAGAGTGTTAAAATTGGAATACACAGTTAACCTTTAACAGTCGGCATTTAAACCCCCCACGACTGCGCTGCTGCCGGAGTTAATTTGACGTTGCCCTTTTAATATTGTAGACTTTCAGAAAAAAACTGCATATTTTCCGTTCTATGCAGCTTAGAAATACGAACTAAAAACCGCCTGAAAGAGAATGAAATTTCCTACAATATATCTATGGCAATTTTTACAAATAAAAATTAACTGTGATTGTTATGTCATGAAATTCAAAATATACTCTCTATTATATGTGTTATGAAATTCCAAAAGACTTACCCATAATTTTTTCTTCAAATTTGAGACGTCGTTATATCCAAAATACATTGACACTATACACCAAAATGTTTGGTCAGACTGTACACGAGTTTCAACTCGTTGCGTCGTGTAAGTTTACGCTAGTATAGATACGGCGTGCGGGAGCGCGGAAAGGCAGGGTTTGCTTCAGCGCGTTGTGAAGGTCACACAGACCTCACTTCTCATACGCTTGTTGACAATCTGGTTCAGTCTCTCGCTTAGCGAACAAACAGGAAGTTATTGTTTCTATCTGGCTGGCCGGACAGTGTTGTCAATGTTCAGTTCCAGACGACTCAATGAAAAATCTTGGCTTCCCCAAAGAAACAGTCCGCCACTGACTCACAAGCTGATAATTCAGACACTCACTAAACACGTCACTTCCTTGAGAGCTACAGAAGCAGTGATCTGCCCGCACAGAGGAATGTTGGGTCATCTTTTCTGTGAAGACGCTTCAAATCTGTTTGGCTGACCAAGTCACAAACAGTCTTATCTTCATGTAAACGAAATCGAACCCAGTGCCATGATGAAGGGTTTTATTGTTCAGAGCCAACAACTGGACCTCTGACTTGAACTTGCGTGGGTTTGTTTTGGTTTCAAACTCAAGGTCTAACAGTCAGCACTTCTAAGGTGAACACGTGTCTTGCGTCCAGTATACTGGACTTTCGGCATCTTCGAGGTCACAGGTACCGTCCGGTATACCGGACTTTCGGTCGTTAAAGGTTAAACAGGACGCTGCAATACAACATCTGGTCATGACACAAGGAACTTTTCATACCACAATTTAATGAAATTGGACCTACTATATGAAAAATCATCTGTGTGGGATTATATATGCATACTATTCACTACATCTGAAAGTCAATAATCTAATTTTACAAACATGTTTATAGCCCTTAGCATGTTACACAGATAAAGACATCATGTGGCACCATACCATTAAACTGACTTATTACATTCCCAAGATGAGAACAACATTTGTGCCTTGGTATTATATATTTTACCTGCTAATAGGCCATCTTACAACAGTGAATTAAGTAACTCCTATTTCAGTACCATACTCCATTATATAAAAGTGTTCACACAATGACTGGGGTTCATATAGACAACAATGAGGGATTACGATATGCTATAATGAGTCTACACCATCTATAAAAAGACAAAACAAACAAACTCCATGGTTTTAGTCCGCAAGTGAACTATACAAACAGAGCGAGTGACCTCCACTTGTTGAAGTTAGTGCCAACTTTAGCGGATAGAGGGTGGTGCGTGGTCAGCCCAACAAATCCCCACAGCCATTAATTTCGGTTTTCTAGACCGGAGCAGCTATTTCCTTGAAACAGCTCCTCAATTATCCTCATGAGACTCTGTGCACCCTCTTTCAGACCCACTACTTCTCAGAAAATCTGGTAGCGCCGGGAATCAAACCTGGACCTCTGGATCTAGAGCCAGGAACTCTGACCACTAGACATCAATAAATCATGACTGACTGCTGCCAATCCTAATGGAAGCTACAGGAAATGAAAACAAGGAGATATTAAGTAAATGTACTACTGAATCTAGAATGAAACAAATTATGTCTAAACACCATCCCTTAAATTTTCTTTTCTATTGCTAGTGGGGCGGGACTAAGTCCCTTGTACTGCGGCCACTTCTGGCCTATTGTACCAGCCCCAGATGATAGGTGAGGGTGATTGTGGAGCAATTGGTGGAATGAAGATTGGCAGGGGAAACCGAAGTACTCGGAGAAAACCTGCATAAGCACCGCTTTGTCCACCACAAATCCCACTTGACCAGACCCGGGATCGAACCCGGGCCACTGCGGTGGGAAGCCAGTGACTATCCGCTTGAGCTATGGCGCGGCCACCTCCCATAAAGTAAAAAATGATGCATATAAAAAAGGAAACAGTGTGGACACATTAATACTTAAGCATAGTGTACAAATGACCCAAAATAAGTCATGAGTATCTCAGCCTTAATACCTTGTCTACAAGTTCTTGCACTTTACAGTCTTTCTTCTTTTCTTTTGCAGATTTCTTTTTCTCCTCTTGTGTCTCATTGTTCTTACATCCCTCATGCTCTTTCTTATATGCTGAGCTGTCCAATGCATATTTGCTCCATGCTTTTGGCTTACTTGGGTCACCTGCAATAACAAGGAGTCCCGTATAAACTGTAAAATCTGTCTTCTTATTGCTGATTTCCAGACCTACAAATCTTGAAAGGTAATGTACATTCACAATCCAACAGAAATTCAAAACAACTCATGTGCTGGTGTGCTGCACAGACAGTCATAAGATCAAAGAAGTCCTTGTCAAGTCAGGATTTCTATTGCTTGCAATTGTAAATTTGTTACACATTACTATAATCATCATCCTTCTTCGACGAAACCAGATGTTCAAGTGTAGATTTTGTCTACATTAAATCTGGTGGACATAGCACAGAATTTCACAATGTTGTCATCTTTGTAATTGTTGAAATAAACCACATTTCATGCAGAATTTGTACATTTACAATCTATCTCCATAACAAATTTCATAATTCATTAGCTATCAGCAACAAACCAAAAGATGAAAACAAACATCACATCGAAGCCACAATTTCTTACTTTCCCATAGAGGATGCAGTACATATGAAAAAGTATTATGAGCATGAGAGAATCTGTAGGATTGGGCTCACCCAGCAGCAGTTATGGAGGGTTCTATCTTCAGGGATATAATGCCATATAATCTGCTGAAAGTGAACTAACATTTTGGAGGAACATGCTTCTTTGCAAATTGCTTCATGCCCTATTTAACATTTGAGGTTTTCACAGCGGTGACTATAAATAATGCCATCTTCTGTGATGTGGCACCATGTAGATCTTGTGTAAACCGATGTTTTGGAGGAACATATCGCCTTCATCTTCAGGGTAGAAAAATCCAGGAGCAAGGAACCAGCAAGAGCAGGTGGCTGCAGACTGAGTCACCAGTTGAAAACACCCAATTATACATATAAGAACGGGAAGGGAGGGAAAGTGGGCCAAATGGGAAATCAATAGAGAGGAGAGAAGAAGGGTCTGTGGAGATGGGTCAGCAGGTAGCAGGCCAGAGCCAGTACAGGGTGGGTTGGGAAGGGGAAAGAGGCAGGACTACCAGGACAGCATTGACCCAATAGCCTTGGGGCTAAGTTTCTGAGCATGCATCAACCTGCGTAGCCTTGTAGATCTGGCACCATGCTTGTTTCTTGCTAGGCTTCTTCTAGGACCCTGAAAATGGAGGCGACATGTTCCTTCGAAACATCAGCTGACTTTCAATGGCTTACATGTCATTATAACCCAACAGAGAGAACACTTAAAAAATAATGTGACCTCACAATTTGATGGATCTTCATGTTTTCAGCATCCCTGAAGACAAATCAGTGGTTTTTGTCACGCCATCTCTGGCTGTATATAATGAGTGACACATAGGCAGCATGGTATCTAACTCTCTTTTCTTTTGAAAGGAAAGAAAACTGTCTTTCCTCCTTTACCCAGAACATTCCTCATATGTGTTTCATTTGAACAACCCTCATACATCTTGCTCATGGCCTTCAACGTGAGAGCATTGGTAGTTCAATTGTAAAGCGATTAGCTGTGGGCTGGATGGCCAGATTTCAATACCTAGCAGGGACAGGATTTAACCTTTGTGCCACTAAGTTCTGACAGACTTTAGAGTCTAACCAGCCTCCATTGTGTACCAGGTGTTCTTCCCCAAGGAGCAAAGTAGCCAGAGTGTGACAGCAACCAGTGATCTCTAACTAGTGTTGAGATCTAGAATACAAAGTTTTGTTTCTTTTTGTGGTGTAGCGTTTAGGGAAAGGGACAACTATACCTTCAACTTTGCCCTTTATACTTGAAATTCATGCAGAAAAAGAATCCTTTACCACTGTATCATAAAGTTCAGCTAATCCTTTAAAACAGAAGTGTGATCTCTTGTTCCCATGAATTAAAATGTTGACACTCTTTAATTATTCACCAAGTTTAAGCTTCCAAAGTGTACTCAGTTAGCAATCTGCAGTTTTTGTGCCTTCTTTTGATTTTCCTCAGATGTGGATTTTTTAAAATCCAACAAAAACAAATAACACACAAAACAGTTAATCATGTTATATGTATAAAAATAACTATCTAAAACTAAACACAATGTCACTTGCCTAAACCAGCACATATTTCAACTTTTATCCTGGAAGCCTTGATGCAACTATTGTTAAAGTACTCTAGGGCATTTTGTGCATCTTCTTCAGTCTTAAAACCTACAAATCCAAAGTGACGGAACTTTCCATCCTTTGTATGCTTTAACTGGACATCTGTTACAATGCCTTTTTCACTAAAAATTTCATGGAGTTTTCCCGTTGTAATCTGCAAAATATTAAGTAGAGTTAAAATTAGGTTACAGCTTTGTAAATCATGCACAATCTTACACTACTATTAAAATGCTGAGAAGAAATACACCTTCTTGAGATGCATACAATGTCATATTAAAATTCTGCTGTACTTCAGTTCCAGGTAATAAATTATTATCAACTGCAGCTACATGATGGATCACTTTTGTAGTCTGCCAATAACATACTAGGTTGCTGGTTAATTCTGGGGTTACTTAGCAGTGCTTTTTCAAGTACATAGGCTGCATTGCGTCCAGTTTCTAAGGTTCTCCCAAACCCCCTCAGATCTTCATTTTCAGGATCATTTAGAAAGATTACTGCCATTGCTTATTATGTGAGTTCTGATAACATAAGCAGTCATTTCTTGTTTATTTGGACTCTTAACAGCATAACATGAACTGTTTACGCAACCAACAAATCAGGGCCAGCAACTTTCCTGTATACAATTTCTTCGATAATTCCGTGTAATGCAGTAACATCTCGTCCACGCAATATCGGTACCTGGCCTCTTGTAAATTTCATATTAGAAGTGAGGTTATGTGACCTCCTTCGGAAGATGGTTACAAAACGCTTACTTTTACAAAGCTGTTCACAAATGTAGTTGGATGTTAATATGTCTAGCACCTATTCGATATTACTATACATAAACAAGTGTAAACAGGAGCAACAGCAAACTGAACCTGACCGAATAGGTACACTCTGTCTCAGTAACACTGTCATAGCAAGCCATTCTTCAACTTACGCTTCTTGGTAAATTCTTCACAATTAGTCGTGACATTTTATCATACTTCGGATTAAAGACTTATTATTTTACATACGCTATTCTCACATGCCTACACGCTATAAGCCAAGCCATTTCTCGATACCGCACATGGCCGAATTAAACTATCAATAAATCGAATCAGTTATATCCACAAATCGAATCAGTAACTATCGAGGGACAGATTTCAGCCCAGAGGAGGCAACGGAAAGCGCGATCTTTAACGATCTTTATTGTATTGTGGTACGGAGCCGGAATGGTCGGAATGACCAAATCAGTAGAACTAAGTACGGGTTTGACGTCCGGATACTCTGCGCTCGTTTCCCTGGGTGGTAGTACTGGTTGTAAGTTGATTTTACTCTTCATTATGTCCGCACGGGCTCAGGAGCTCACCCAGCCTCTCATCTTGTGAGAACAGGGGCCAATTCCCTCAGAGGCAATGCAGCAGGGCTGAAGCAGACCATTCGCCTTCATCCAGTGCCTAAATTAAGAATGCGTGGAGCCATAGATCCACTCCCCCATACATATTCATGGCATGGTGAATAATTAAGCACAGAAGATAACTTTAGTTACCACATCTCCACACACTAAGAACAAAACTGAATAATTACGAATTAGAAGTGTACTAGAATAAATTATTATTTAGCTCAAGCATATTTAAACAATAGCCTAACTGACTACATGGAGATGAGTCCTTGAGAAGCCAGTTACTCAAGAATTTCCTAACATTTCATGGAGCATGCAGGGCTGCGCCATAGCTAAAGCAGTTAGTTGCTGGCTTCCCACTGCAGCAGCCCGGATTCGATCCTGGGTCTGGTCAAGTGGGATTTATGGTGGAGAAAGTAGCGCTGGGACAGGTTTTCTCCGAGTACTTCGGTTTCTCCTGCCAATCTTCATTCCACCAATTGCTCCACACTCACCCTCACCTATCATCTGGGGCTGGTACAATAGTCCAGAAGTGGCTGAAGTACAAGGGACTTAGTCCCACCCCACTAGCAATAAAGAAAATGGAACGTGAAGGTACATAACTGTGTTCACAGTTTCCCTTCACTGGTCCCTATCCTGAGCCAGATGAATCCAGTCCATGAGCCCATCCTATTTCAGCAGTCCAAGAAATCCTGTGCTTCTATGGATCCCAAACTTTTTTTCTTTTCATTGGCGCTACAGCCCTCATTTGGGCCTAGGCCTACCTCCATGAATCTCTACATATGGATCCCAAACACTTGTTGCTATGTTCATAAAAGCCTGTAAGTGGACCCTGTTCTTTTAAAGTTGAATCCAATTCACACGTTAACACAGCGATTTTGTATGATCCATTTCAATATTATCCTTCTATCTGCTATGTCTGGCCAACTGGCCTCTCTCCTTGAGGTTTCTTAACCCAAAATCTCCCTATGCATTTAACATTGCATCTTAACTTCCTCTGATCTGTGTTGCATTTTTCACTGTGAATTGGTCTACAAAATATGCATCTCTCTGTTCCTTATGGTAGGTGTGTAGCAGTTCTAATTTCTACTGTGGAAAATAAATAAATTATGGCCTGCAAGAGAATTCTCTGCAGCTATTAACTTCCATTTAATTTTTTTTAAATAATCAGAATGCATAAAAAATATGTTTCTTTATATTCTGCATTTAAATAATATTCTAGTCTGTGTAAGTTTTGAGGTTTTCATGGCGATGACAATGAAGAAAGTCGTCTTCTGGGTTTAGGCACCGTGTATTCTTCGTTTCAATATTCTAGTCATTTTACAAGATCATAAATGTGTATATTCTTTTATATAGTTTCAATGTGTGTGTAATGTGGTCCTACATGTTTGTGACAGCTGTCCAGTATTGTCATGGGAGTTTTTTCTTGGGATAATATTCACTATAGTGTTTGTGGATAATTCTTACTGTTATACTTTATCAAGATTTTTATACCTTTCTTGTGCATACTATATATCACACATCTGACATGCCTTATAGCCTAGTGAAAAGGGCCCATAAAGTGGGTAGCCTTTTCTTTACTTGAAGGTGGTGGTACAGCCAATCTCTGAAACAATATATACTGGTATCTTACATATCCAGACACTGAATATGTTCAGAGGAAAGACCTTCTTGTATGTGTAACTTTAAATGGTGAAATTGAAAAATACCAAATCTTTGACCTGACTTGGCCAGTCACAAATATATTTCCATTCAGAATGAAATATAGTCAGGGTTTATTTTATATTGTTCTCTTAATCCATAACCTACAAAACAAACAAACAAACAAATTTCATGGTTTTAGCCCACAAGCGAACTATACCAACCAAGCCAACTTTAGCAGATAGAGGGTTTCGCATGATCAGTGCAACGAATCCCCATGGCCATTAATTTCGGTTTTCTAGACCAGAGTAGCTATTTCCTTTAAATAGCTCCTCAATTATCCTCAAAAGGCTGAGTGAACCTTGTTCCAGACCCATTGCTTCTCAGAAAATCTGGTAGCACAAGGAATCGAACCCAGACCTCTGGATCTGACCACTAGACCACAGAGGTGGTCATCCATAACATACATCCCCACATATTGTACTGTATATTTAATTCTTAATATCATATCATAATATGAACAGACATCACAAAACATAATTGAAAGGTGATACCAGTCCTACAAATTGTTTCTATTTCTTTGTCTAACAGGATAATCCACATTGAATATGACCACTTTAATACTGTTTGTGCATGTCTACTGAAACAATGATACCTTGAAATTTCTTTTCTCTTTAATGAATTATGTGCTAAGAAGTACATTTCGTATGTCTATCTGTAGTCCATCGGAAATCCAAATGAGTGATTTCTTGAGTTCTGGAAAAAGAAATTAGTTGTTTAAGTGTTACTTGCATGGTCCAACCCTAATCTATATCAGTAACATATAGATGAATGTTCATCTGGCATTTTGAAGAATATTTATGAAAGTAAGGAACCCCCAGATCAATAAAGTCTTCAGTGACAGAGGCTATCTTTATATTGTATGCATGCATTTATTACTACAGGTTATTTTAAAAGATATATAAAAGCAACAAATCCACTGAACAATAAATTCTCCAGTGACAGGCATGACTGAGGCCTTGATAACACTGTATGTACACATGTATGCATGTATGTTTATAGATTGTATTTTAAAGGATTTGTAAAAAAACAAGAAAGCCATTGCTCAATAAAGTTTCCAGTGACAAAAGTGACAGAGACCTCATTTACATTGTATATGTGTATGTATGTTTGTTTTTACAACACTTTTAAATATTTGTAAAAAGCAAAGACAAACAAGGCAAGTAAGTGGGCCATCACAAAGGCTGGAAATCCATTGTGAACATGATTGGCAATGATTGAGCATCACAGGACTAGACGACACGTATGTCGGCAGCATTGGGACATTAGTCACCTAGAAAGAGTTGTAGTAGAGATATGATAACTGCCTGAGAGGAAGCTGAATGGAACATGAGAAATGAGTAAGGGATGGCATAAAGAAGGCGTGGACATCACCACCCCCATCCCTTAGTGTTAGCCAAGAGCAGCAGTGACAGCCTGAAACTTCTTTTGGTCATGTGACTTGTAGGTTCAAGTCTATAAGTTTTAAAGGCGCAATAAACTTCAGTGTTTGAGATCTAATATTTGTATAATTACATATGTAAAAAATACACACTACTGAATTGTTACAAGTAAATCAAAAACCTCCTTAGATTGAAAAATTCCACTTGCAAGAATATTAATATTACACACAAAGTAAATGCAAAACCGCTGTACATCTGAACACCATTCTAAGATGTTAGAGATGGTAATACATAACTTACCTGTAGAATGTATTTCAGACACGTCTTATACCTAAAATTAAAATGAAGAAATGTCTGAAGCTACAGCAATCCACTGAACACACTTCAGATCTAATTAAAGAGATTCAGAACATTTTTGCTTTCCTTCGCTCCTAAGCTTCTGTTCATCAGTATCTTTCAGTAAGCCTGCATTGCCCATTCTCTAGTAATACACTTTGTATCACCATGGAAACATGTAAAATTCAAATTAGTAAGAATATTTTCAAGCATATTGGACTGATTATGAGAGAAACTATTACATCCAGGGGCACTGTAATCTTCAGTGAGAAGGATTATGATAACCCCCCAAAATATACTATTGTTAAAAACAAATTCAAAACTTTCATCCTAACTGTTTGCACTATCATCCATTGAAGAAATGTAACCAAGTTACTATATAATAAACACATCCTACCTATTACAAATTGTATGGAATTGTAACCTGTGTACATATTTCAATGTTGCATCCTTTTAGTCCACAATTCACAGATGATCAATATAAACACAAAATATATTTTGTTTATGATGTAATTAATATCATGTCACGTTTCAGTCACATGACCATAATCATGTTGCTATTGTGTGTGATATGCATATGATGATCATATGGCCACATGAACTTAATTATACAATGTNCGGCAAATTGCAGCCGCGGCGCGCACTTGATTGTACGAACTGTATTACTGATGTTATTGAAATGAAGGTTTGTGTGATTGTGTATGTTGCTCATTCATGAAATATATTCTTCATATATCCACTTTATTTGCGATATATATTTTTGGTGTATCCACTTCATAATTCCCACTGTGGCATGATATCAGATTTTTTTACACAATTAAGGGGTTAACTTTTTCATTGGATGTCAGCACAGAATAGTCTTATGTTGACTTTTTAGTTGCAGTTTTTGAGATACAATGTCTCAAAACCTTATAATATACACATGATAGTACAAAAAAGTAAAGAAAACTAGTTTCATATGTCTGTAAGTGCAAAAGGTATTCTTATTACTGTAGATCTGTACCAACTGTAGATGTCAAACAGAAAATTGTAATTGTAAAATATTTATCTTGGAAGCATAGAAAAATATTTGTAATTATTAGATTTTCACATTAGATTTAGGATTATATAATTCAGGATATGACATATGGAGTTGTACAAAGGTCATAAAAGGTGCATTAAGTTCTTTTTGAGAATCAATAACATTAGAACAATAATAGAAATTAATAAAAACAGTTAATGTTAATGAAGAAAGCCGTCTTCTGGGATGCGCCCCCCCCTCAAGCTACAAGGTTAATGCCCTCCATTTAACCTTCCCTTCTCTCCCCCTAACACATACTCTATAAAAACTCTGGCCCACTACCTGCTGGCTATTCCACCAGACCCTTCCCCTCCCCCTCTCTACTATTTCCCTATGTAGCCACACTCCTTCTCTCCTTCTCTTATACAGCTGTGTTTACTTGACTGGACTCAGTCTGTTGCACCTGCTCTGCTGGTCCGCTCGCGGATTTCTTGTCTTCTGCCCTGAAGATGGAGGCGATATGTTCCTCCGAAACGTTAGTTAATACAATTTCTACATGACGCCACATCCCAGAAAACGGCTTTCTTCATAGTCACCACTGTGAAAACCTCAAATCTCACATAGTTAATGTTAATGTTTAAAATTATATATAAACTTGAATATTTTGAGAAACTAGTAAATAAAGAGCATTATAAATACCACAGCAACATACTGCTAGAGACCTACCAGAAAAAAATCAACAAAACATATGAATAATGTAGTCCAAATATAAATACTAATGACCTATATACGATTTATAGAATCAGTTCACCCATTCATTATCTCCACAACCAGTGTGGAACCACAACCATGCATTAAAAGTATACTTGTAACAGATGGTTATAACAAACCTTAGTTATAAATAATTCAGATAAACTATTCATATTCTCATAAACAATAAAGGGGAAAAATAACCGGTGTATATGAGTCTTATCTTAAAATTATCATTTTTTTAAAAGCCCTTTTAATATCACACTCATGCTGCCACTAGACCTCTGATGTGTGTCTGCTCTTCATCTGTAAGACCTGAAAGAAAGCATTACATAATGTCAGTAAAAGTCTATCCACAGTATTACTTTATACTAATTATGCATAAGTTTTTGTTACAGAATATTATGTCAAAAACTGGTTCAATATTTTCATGGTAGATACAGAGAAAATGTTTCTGGTTGCTGTAGCAGCTGTTATTTAAATTGCTATAATTAGAAGGGAACTGCTGTTGGAGAAAATGGATTGTGATTAGGATTTTTCACATTTATGACATCCAAGTTATGTTTTTCCAGCTCCAATCCTGTGAAACAGACATGTTTTTATTAATACACTTTTTCAGTTTATATTATTACCTCAACAAGCTTTCAATGAAATTTCATTTATCAATAAAATTAAACATGTTTGGCAAACTTCTAGAGTTAAGTATAACGCTTATTTGGGCATGGGCCTATGTAGTGACAAAGCATCAAAATATATCAACATGCTTCACCCTCAAATTTAATTTCTACCAGTCAAACAAATGTTAAAGTTAGTCTAAATTTTCTATGAAATCAGAACAGCTGTTTGGTATCAAGCTGGAAAGAACTGCTGAACATTTTAGCATGATGGGAGTGACAGATACAAAATAATTTCAAACTTCATCAGTAAAATCAGGAACCTAAAAGTTCTTTTGAAATACTTTGGTATCATCTCTACATTAATGTCTGTGTAAGAGACCCTTGGACTATAAGCTCATGCTGGAATATATCCTCTTCTCTTGCTGCATGTTTGGCCAGTGGGTATGTTTCTACTGAATGTACAATTTTGTGAGAGAGAAAGACACATAATAACAAAAATTAATTGTTCATTCTTAAGAATAAGAAATGCATAAGAATAAATCATTCCATATAATTTTCTTATAAACTGACCTAAACTAACAGGCAAGAGATGACACACTGTTGATTTGAATAATGTGGGTGTGCGCACATATAAGAACTACAAGGAACAATTCTCTACAAGAGAGCAAAATAATGCAACAATGTTAGAAGAGTTCTGTTATATCTGAGCTTCAGACCAAACATCCATTGCAGGTCTTATGTTTAGGGGACACCAATTCCTAACATCTGGTTTTTCTCAGCACTCTCAACAGCTATGTGTAAATTCAATTAAAAAAACATACTCTTAAATAGCTATTTTTTTTGGAATGCTCTACTGAAATTTTGCATTAAATTTTTTTATAAAAAAATCAGTACTGACACTGAAGAAAATGAAAGTGGTAAAAAAGAAACAGAACTTAAGTGTTAACATTGCTGAAGTAGGATTCTCAAATTACTTTACATTGTAAAGCAGATATTTTAAGTGGCTCACTTACTTACTCATGGAGCTGAGCCCTTCTAAAAGAGCCACCAATTCTGCAGCTACTCAATTTCCCAGCATTTTATGGAACCCGAAGGTTCATTACCATGTTCACAAGAGCCCTCAACTGGTCTCTATCCTGAGCCAGATCAATCCAATCAATACCATCCCATCCCATCCTATCTCTATAAGATCCATTTTAATATTGTCCACCCACCTATGCCTTGGTCTTCCCAGTGGTCTCTTTCCTTCTGGCTTTCCCACCAATATCCTATACACATTCCTCATCTACCCCATTCGTGCTACATGCCCTGCCCACCTCATCCTCCTTGACTTGATCATTCTAATTATACTTGGAGAAGAGTACAAGTTATGAAGCTCTTCATTATGCAGTTTTCTCAAACCTCGTGTCACTTCATCGCTCGTCAGTCCAAACATTCTCCTCAACACCCTGTTCTCAAACACCATCAATTTATGTTCCTCCCTTAATGTCAGAGACCAATTTTAAGTGGCTACTATACAAAATATGACAAGAGTTACCCTTTCATTACACCCCTACTAAGTAGCTGTTTATAGTTTCGTATTCCTGTGATGTAGCCTACATAAGGGAGAATCTGTAACAGATGAACAGTACTAAGAAAATGGTACATCAGATTTGTTCAGCATCTGTGTATATAAAAGGCTTAGTATGTTTATCCTCCTCACCAGCAGGAACAAGTTCATGGAAATGCCAATGGAAGCACCATGTGACAGCTCTATTATGAGAGCTGCTTGCAGGGGATACATACAAAGAAAATAGCTCTCACTCACTCATTGAGCTGAGCCCTTCTTGGGAAGCCACCAGTTGTGCAGCTAGTAAAGAACTTCCCAGCATTTTATGGAACCAAAAGGTTCAGTACTGTGTTCACAAGAGCCCTCCACTGGTCCCTATCCTGAGCCAGATTGATCCTTTCCATACTATCCCATCCTATCTCTCTAAGATCCATTTTAATAAGTGTCCACCTACCTACATCTTGGTCTCCCTAGTCGACAAAGAAAATAACTACAGAGAACATATGTGAAACTAGAACTCAGCAATGGCATTTGCATCAATGGTTGAAGATATAAAATCACCACCTGGAAATGTGCCATACTATTCTGGGATATACAGCCAGATTTACCATTTGATTTCGCTGCTATTCCTAACTGAGGCAAATCGGCCAAGATATGGACAACTTTAAATTTTCAATTCTGCTGAAGCAAGAATGAAATGACCTGAAAACCATTCAGACAAGGAATGTATGTTTTCTTTATGGCTATTGGTAGTAAAAAATATACACCAATTTGTAATTAATAATGAAATAATACTATAAATACATCACAAAGTACTAATTTACACATACCATCGGTAAATTTGACCAAATGCAAAAAGGGTGCCTGTTATATGGGTATAGAAATTTTCAATCATTTACCGCGTGACATAAGGGAACTGTTATATGATGTCAAAAAATTCAAATTAGTTACTAAAAACTTTTTCTTAAAGGAATACCTTGAATGGTCAGCATAATGATGGATCATACATAGTGTAATTGTTCTTTATATTACCTATTTATAGCTGTGTTATTCCTTTGTATATTATTATGTGTTAGTATGTTTTAGTATATTATATGAAATATTGTTGTGATAGTTACAAATAGTGTCCTTGATTACATAGTGTTATTTATTGACAAGGTTGTGTGTTATAACTTACTATTCTGCTCATTTTTAATAATGGACTACTTCTATATCTGTGGTGACTTGTTATCACCTGTATGGATTACTTGAAGTATCTATATAATAAATAAATAAACTAATGGAATGACTGGACTTGATTCTGTGACAAGTTAACCCATTTGCTGAGTCATATAACCATACCTGAATTGAAAGAAATTAAATGTATTAATCAATAAATAAAATGTCTCAATATTTAACTAATAACTTTTAAAAGCTATTAAAATGGCATATATTGTGCTGGGTACATCTAGCTATAGAATATTTCAGATCTTTTTTGTTTTATTTTATTTTACTATGCTGTCAGTATGTAGCCTACAGAGATTTAGTGAAAGACGAACTGGAAATGATCTGGAAGGAAGCAGCCATGTCATAATCATGGTATTACCCTGTCATTTTAAGGGAGGGGCTTTGAAAAACCACAAAGAAAGTAGCCATGATTTGAACTGAACACCTTCCCAATAAAAATCTGGAGTGCTACTGCTAAACTGGGGTACACGGTAATGTAGTTTTTTGTGGCACTATGCTAAAAGCTCAAACGTCATAGGTTTGATTCCCAATGAGACCATTCAATTTTCAATTCACCTAATCCTTCCAATTTCTGGCCCTGGACATCAACTCAGCCTCTAACAGAAATGAATACCAGGAATCTTCCTGGGAGTAAAGGGCAACCGGTACATAAGGCCGACAACTTTACCACCATCTGTGAGCCAATGGTCTAAAAAAATAGTAGCCTTAACATCTCACAATCCTATGGGCCTCCATGGCCTGCAGGGATAGCTTTACCTTTTCTTTCACAGCTAAACTAATTTACTTCTTTTGGCTTGTTTTGGACTTCAAACTAATTTGCTTGGTTTTCATATCCTCCATTGTTGCATCATCTTCCTCTTATACATCTTATATTAACAAGAAGTAAAGCTACATGTGACAAAGTTCAATGAACATATGATGAAGAATGAAACATTGACAGACAGGAACATCGACATCTGTGATTCAACATAAAGCTTATTTATGTGATGTTGATGTGTGACTACATACGACTGTTTTTACATGCAGAGAAATATCTCACCCTCTCAGAGACAAGTGAGTTTCAGCTTTTTGTTGCATTGTAGAAGCAGATGTCTTCCTTAAAGTTGAAAGCTTTTCAACAGTGGGAAAGTATTAAAATGTTACTCGGAGCCATCATGCAGTGAGACCAGACTTCCAAATGGATCTTTCTTTGGTCTCTCTGTTTGGTGAATAGGACTCTGAGTGCCAAGAGGGTTTGCTGTTTTGAGCTGGTCAGTACTGTCCTTTTTTCTAGTCAAATGAGGGCTATGATGGAGACTTCCAGGAGAAGAATCCGGTATCTCATTATCTGGAAAAGGACCACTTCGGATTGGTAACAGAGCAGAATCAGCACTCAGGCTTTGAACGATACGCCTCTTACTATCACTTCTTATTCCATTTGTGACTTCTGAAGAAGAAGCTGTAGGTGAGGAATGATCCCCAGTTTCCTCATGGTCTTGGGAAAGTGCAGGGCCTTCATTATCAGGCAAAGATATATTGCTATCAAAAGATTCAAACACTGATGAGTAATTCACAGGCCTTTTTAGTGCCAACCGAGATGGACTGTTGTGATTGACAACTGAAGATACAGTGTTACGAATTGCTTGTCCAGAAAACATTTTCCTGTCAGGTAATACTGAGGATGTGATTACGCCATGAGTGTCAGCACCTGTGGTCCGTGATATTGAAGCTGGCCTTCTCTGTAAGCTAACTTCAGGCAATGGAGATTCTGTGGTTACACTTCCAATAGGAGTAGATGATGTCCTTTGAGGTACACGTGAGTTGCCATCTTGATTTGGGTTGCTGCACAAGAGTTTAAAGGAAATAAATGAAAAATGCTGGATAAAGCAATGGATAAAGAATTAGAGATCAAACCAGGGAACATAAAAGTGTTACAGAACCAGAGAATAGATCGGAATATTTCCTCTGAGATATTAAAATAATAAAATATAACGTTTTAATGGAGAATATGAAAGTGGTAAAGACACATGTGAACGGTATTACTATTTGTCTTCTATTGTTTGTCAGGTCTCTCAGTCAAACAGCAAAACCTGCCTGAAGCAGAAAGTAGAGTAAATAGAAACCTGCCTACACTACAAAATTTATCTCATCCCAAGAATGTAGCGTGTAAAGTAACATGAAATTATACTGAATAAATATGAAGTTAGTAACAGACAAGCCTTAAAAGAAAAACTGTGTGCTTGAACATTTATTGTTGTCTGTTCCTCCATCATTATGTTCTGTACCATGTTACCCAAAATTTATCTAAAAATGAATATTCTTGTAACAGATGGAACACACCTTATCTCAACAAATTATTTTCAGAAATGGACTAGGAATGGGGGTGCATCTGGAAATGTGTGCCACCTGCTAATAGTTTAGTGTATGGTATACGAATTTCTGCCTGTGGTATTAATTGTAAATACATGATGAAAGTAATACTTGATATATTGGGTTTTTGGACTTTATCAGAAAGTTTCTGGGTTTCTAATTATAATCATATATAAATCCCATAAGAAATATACTTGATCTCTTCTGAACACTGAATAAACCAATGCATCTCAGCTCCATAGCTGTTAACCTTCTGTGTCATTATGATTAAAGGAACAATTCAAAACTCTTCTAAAATAGAGTATAATTAACTCATGCCTCACTTCAAATTTCGCATTTGACCTCTATGTTCTTTATCCGATGGTAGCAATGGGGAGTACTGTTCAGTTGCATCAATGCATGAACTTACTCAGCAAGTTCCTTGAGTTTGTTTCTACGAGCAGAAGAGGTACTGTCAGCAGATCCCGTAGATCCATGCATTCCCTTGCCATTGTCCCATGAATTGTGGCGTCTATGGCTCTTTTCACGGTAAGACTCAGCAATGTTCATCATGCTATAACAGAGAGAATTTCATATAAAATGAATGCATCATATATTAAATTCATGTTACGAACACTGGAGATGAGTACAAAATATTAAGAAATGAACAAGAAGGGATAAAGTTTGAAATCTGATTACTTAGATAAGATTTGAAACAAGACACTCTACAAGCAAATCTGATGAAATTAAGGGTACACTGGTATGGACAAATACAGTATTATGCCTGAAGAATGTAAGACAAAGTTATGAAAAACAACTGTCCACTGAAAATACCTAGGACTGGGTGAAGACAGATATTATGCTTAAGAACAACTGATGAATCAATGAAACAGAGTACCACTTGTGCTCTAATGAATGAAATTACTTTGAAGACAAACTTCTTATAGGACTGTAGCCCAAGAATTTGGAACTGCTGGCTAGGAAGAATGAACATTGCTGTCAATGTGCATTATTGTGAGTTACTGAACAGACTTTGGTGCTGTGTTTCTCACCTGTTTCCAATGCTTCTCTTATCTAGTTCTTTCTGTATGGACTCAGGAAGTCGATGAGGAGGCTTAGCAGACTTCCTTCCCTCTAGTATATCTTGCTGCAACATTATATGCATATGAGAGAAATATATTAAGAAGGCCAGATAGTAGGCATTTGATTCCTGGCTGGGGTAGGAATTCTTTCCCTTCACCCTTACATCCAAGTCAATTGTGGGCTCACAGGACCTCCTAATCAGGAGGTAAAGATATTCTTTCTCTGATGGTAACATGGCTAGTGCATGAAACTAACTACTTTCCTTAATCTAGTGCATAGTGTCAGGGGTAAGAATATATGGATCTTTACCTCCACACCCTTTCATGATGTGCTTACAAAACCTTTCTTATTGCATGGGGTGGTGTGAGTTAGAGTAAATTTGATACACAGTCCATTAGTACCAGCCCCAGATAATGGATGAGAATGGAGCAGTTTGTGAAATGAGAATTGGCAGGAGATACTGAAGTACTCAAAGGATATCGACCTGAGTGTTACTTGTCTACCATAAATCCAATCTGATTTGACCTGGGATTGAAGCCTGGTCTTAGGCACCCTTACTTTTATCTATTCCTTTACTACTCATCTACAAAGACGTACAATTTTTCATTAACCACAGACTAAAAATCTGACATTATAAAAACTGAGGGCAGTGAATACTCGTAAATGATAATTGACAGGAAGAAAACATCAATGAATGATGGTGATAATGATAATGATGATCATAGTGGCAATGTAAAATGATGGATAATAAAATTTTGTCAATAAAAGTACGGAAGTAATGGAGACAGAAAGAAGGATAAAATACTTGTTTTGATGTAGATTCTCAATTTCTGGAGGCCCAGTATATTTCATAGATTGAATGCGTTGTCTTGAGTTCTGAAGAACTCTTGCTGAAATGCTGCCATTCTGATGACTTTCACATGAAATTCAACTTCGTGGTTTTAATATTTTACAGTTCCACTTCTTGTCGACAAAATACTGGAACTTTTATTATTATAAACAGAGCATAGATCTACTTTAACATACCATTTTTCGAGTTCCTTTTAAGAAGAGAGGGTAAGAAAAACAAGAAGTCTATTGCCATCATTTAACAGAAATTGGAACTTTGAAATTGTATACAAGTTCTTATACTCACTTTGAAGCGTGGACCTGGTAGTGTGCTGTTGGTGGAGCCACCTAAAGTGTTAGTAAGGCTTGCATTCAGGGGATTCACCCAGACATTTGTGGCATCAAGATCTCCATTCCCTGACATGTTCAGCATTTCAGCAGAATAGGTTGGTCTAGCTGGTATGATGGGTGAACGACAGCACACACTGTAACACCAATTAATGAAACTTTATCAAGAAGTATGAACCAATTTTAAATTACAATTATGTTATAGAGATTATGCTGGTATGGATATTTAAAACAAATGGGTAGAGAGAAATATATTTTATTTATGGGAACCTTGCAGAAACATTCAACTGAGAAATCAATTTTTCAGTATGTATAAGCATTTATAAACATTTCTTGTATCAACAGAGCATGTTTCATCTTTACCTCGGGCCGCGCCATAGCTCAAGTGATTAGTCGCTGGCTTCCCACCATGTCGGCCCAGGTTCGATCCCAGGTCTGGTCAAGTGGGATTTGTGGTGGACAAAGTGGCGCTGGGGCAGGTTTTCTCTGAGTACTTCGGTTTCCCCTGCCAATCTTCATTCCACCAAATTCTCCATTATCATAATCACCCAGGACAGGTACAATAGGCCAATGAGTGGCCACCGTGCCGAGTGGACCCAACTGGACTCCACCCCCCACTACTCATCTTTACCTTACACATCCTCATGAGGGACTCTCTGTCATGAAGTTTCTAATCTAATTTGAATATAAGATATTGGACTGGATGTTCCCACAAATTTTTAGAGACAAGAATATGACGGTGTGTGTTTGTGTTTATGTGTAAACAAAGTATCTTCTTATTTAAGTCTTGTTTGATGCAACGCCATAATCAGATTCATATGGAATTTATGAGTATAGCATTAAATTGGAGGTTAAGTGCCAAAATGGATTGGGAAGGATGTGAAAAGAGGTTGCTGTAGCCTTTTTTATTCATAATCCAATTATTTGCATGAAGAATTTGAGGAAAACCACAAAAATGTTGGGTAGTCAGGATGGCTGGCCTCTGGACCAGGAATGAATCTGAGACCTTCCAAATACAAAGCAGGTATGTTAAGAACTCATGTTCACTCTATGATTATGATGATAAGGACAACGATGATATATGGACACATGGAACCAAGTAATGATAAAGTTTATTTCCTTGGTATTCTGAGTTCAATGTTCTCAATAACTGGCACCACGTTTGTGACGGCTTTTCATAACAACAAAAATAGTGATATATGTGGAAAGAAACCCTAACACAGTTTCTGAACTAGTATGCTGCAGCATTTTTAATCCAAATTTAGCCACACATAACAGCAATTCAAAAAGTGAAGTAGTACCATGGAGACCGCTTAACCCTGTTTTTATCTCATTAGCAAATGTTGCAGTATATTTGTTAAGTTATTGTTGCCTTAATATTTGTCAAATATATATATATATATATTACAATTCTAGAACAATGAATGATCTGGCATGCAGTGAGGCACTGCACAGTACTTGCATACCTCTATAGCACTACATGGACATGTATGAGAAATACTGGGCTAATTTTCGTGGAAACATTCAGGACTCTTCTAACAGGAGAGCGAGAAAATTTCCTTACTTACTTATGTTTAATCAGATTAAGAATCACACTAAAGTTGTAGGTCTCTACATTAAAATGAATATTACCCCATTTAAAAATAATTTCAATTTTTTGTATAAATGTGTGGCATATTTTCTTCCAATTTTCAATTTCTTTTTAATTTATAGAGAGTGGCGGGTATCTTTAGTGATCAGAGTTCCTGGCTACAGATCCAGAGGTACAGCTTCGATTCCCGGTGCTACCAGTTTTTTTCTGAGATGTAGTGGGTCTGGAATGGGGTCCTCTCAACCTTATGAGGATAATTGAGGACCTATTTGAAGGAAATAGAGGTTCCAGTCTAGAAAACCGAAATTAACGGCTGTGAGGATTCGTTGCGCTGACCATGTGACACCCTCTATCCGCAAAAGTTGGCACTAACTTCGCCGACAAGAGGAGGTCGCTCGGTCGGTATAGTACGCTTGCGGACTAAACTCACGGAATTTGTTTTGGGGGGTATCTACCCTGCGCCAGTGTTCATACTAATAGTCTGTAACTTAATATTTATTTGTACCCCATGGTATCACAGACTCAGCAATGCTAAAACTTACGAGTTCACGTCTTCCAGCTTCTTGAGGAGCCGCTCGTTTTCTCTGCACACAAGCTCCTGGTCACGGAGGACAAGCTCCCTCGTTGTGAACAGCTCTGCATTCTCTTTACGAAGTGCCTCATTCTCCGTCATGTAGTGCCTCACCAGTTCCGATAGCTCCTGGCCCTCCATCTCGGCCAGTTTCTCCAAGTCGACAGTGGGAGGTGTCTTCAGAACGAGGCGACCTACTCCACGAATTCAAAGACAGACTTCAGGTTTCTCCATCCTCTCTGACAAGTAGACCTAATCCATTAAAGTATACACATTGTCTTTTATTGTCTGATAATTCAAATTATTTCCTTCTCGAGGACTACCCCCTTATCCTTGAGAGAAGGTTTGCGCGCCTCAGTGACCCGTTGAGGTAAGCTGGCGGGAACTTTAGCTCCTGGTAAAACCATCCATGACAGGGAGGTCAAAGAGTAGAGACCAGACTTAGTGTAGTTCCTGGCTCTCTAGGTTGTGGACCTAGGCGTGGGGATAATGAACCTACCCCAGAAGAATGACTGTTACTAAACCATGGAGGTTTCCAAGACCCATCCAGGGTTGTAGAGCCAGTAGACATGAGGAATTCGAAATATTTACACCAAAGTTATGATTGGAGTTAAGTCTAAATTCACCCGAGATGGGCTGTGTAATATTAGATTCAGGTTTAACAAACACCTACTTAACGGCGATTACCAGAGAATCAAAGTTCAAAAGAAACTTGTTTAAGGGAAATTATGGAAGATCTAGTGTCAATAGGAACTAACCAGAGGGTGACCTCTCAGTATCTAGACTAGACGGAAACAGGGTGAGCAGTGATTATGAAAGTACATGTTTCACGTTCAGAATCGGGCTCCTTGCCTATCCCACTGATTTCAGAATTCATAAAAATGAACGGTGGATATGTAGAATGAACATCAACAGCACAAATGTGTCTTTTTTCTTTATTTTCCAAAGGGGGCGGCATTACAGTTGGTTAAATGTATGTGTGTGTGTAAGAAAAAGCAGGTCGACCGCCGTTAGCTACACATCCAGGAGGCAGGAGTCAGTGAAGCCACTATGACCCTCCTTGCATATGAATTTTGTAAGCACCATCTCTTTTTACCCAGATCCTACGAATCTTCTATCAGTTTGCTTTAGCCTTGTCATCGGCTTGCTTTTGTCTGTCACATATTCCTCTAGAGAGTCAGTTATAAGGAAATCTGACTACATTTTCGTCAGACTTCATAATTAACTGACTCCATGGAGCTCAGCCCTCCTCTCAGCTATTCAACAATTTACCAAAATTTTATGGAACTCGAAGGTTTATTACCGTGATCATAAGAGCCCTCCACTGGTCCCTATCCTGAGCCAGATCAATTCAGTCTACACCACATTCTCTTTACTCTAAGATTTATCTTACTTTTAACCTCCCACCCCTATCTTCCTCCCCCATACACGATATCAAGCTCCGTAATACTATATGAAAATCAAACGAAGTGATTAGCACGTCAATATAAAACGAACGAGAGACATGAAACTGTAAGAAAAAGAAATGAATGGCTAACCTAAGAGCTCTATTTCTAACCTTCACCCACTGGTGCAACTGACATATCCCTTTACCTGTGAAGATATTGAGTCTTCTTTTGGGGCTAAGATAAGGGTTGCTCCTTCATGCTAATATACACGTTTATGACTTAGAGACTTTCACCACGAAATAGAGCACATTATTACAGAAAATTTGTAATATGTGAACAGTTATTTTAACTTCTGGGTATGACACTTGGTCTCTGACATTAAGGGAGGAACATAGGAGCTTCATGACTCTACTCTTTGTCGAGTGTAATTCGAATGATCAAGTCATGGAGGATGAGATAGGTAAGGCATGCAGCACGAATAGGAGCGAAGAGAAATGCTTATAGGATTCTGATGGGAAATCCAAAAGGAAAGAGACCATTAGGAAGACCTAGATGTAGATGGGTGGATACTAGTAAGATGGATCTTGGGCCGCGCCATAGCTCAAGCGGTTAGTCGTTGGCTTCCCACCGCGGCGGCCCGGGTCTGGTCAAGTGGGATTTGTGGTGGACAAAGTGGCGCTGGGGCAGGTTTTCTCCGAGTACTTCGGTTTCCCCTGCCAATTTTCATTCCACCAATTGCTCCACAATGACTCTCACCTATCAGTTGGGGCTGGTACAATAGGCCAGAAGTGGCCGCAGTACAAGGGACTAGTCCCGCCCCACTAGCAATAAAAAAAAAGTGGATCTTAGAGAGAGAGAGAGAGTGAGAGAGAAAGGAGTGGTACCGACTGGATTCATCTGGCTCAGAATAGGGACCAGTGGATGGCTCTTGTGAATACGGTAATGAACCTTCAGGTTCCATAAAATATTGGAAATTCTTGAGTAACTGCACAACTGGCAGCGTCTCAGGAAGGGCTCAGCTCCTTGGAATTAGTCAGCTTAGTTATTTTTACTGCTTTTAACACTTTTATTTTGAACGTTTCAAACAGTGGTGCTTAGAGGCACTTCAACAACATGGTTATTCGCAACTAGAGAGAAAAGAATGAGTTCTCATATCTACAGCACTTTCTAAGTGTCAGCCTTCTTACGTAATCGACATATACACAATTTTTCTATGTGTATTAATATAATAATCATGCTCTCCCTTAATGCCAATGAAATCGCAAAAGGTTTCACACAGAGCACAACGATGTACACTTATATTTTTGTTAGAATTTCAGTCTCCTCCACCGCAAAAGAACCCGCCACCAAACGAGTCGGAGCGAGGCGAGGAGGGAAGGTAAGTAGGGGCATGTCGCGTGAATAAGGGGCAATCCTAAGTGGGAAATCAGCATATATGCCTATACGGTAACGTGCACAGCTTTGTATAATTTCAGTCGATGATTTGCGAAATCTTCTAATGACTGGATTGTGAGTGGAATTGCCAAATATTTTCTTTAAATTAATCGCACCATCTTCCACCCAGCTTTGCTGAAGGTTCTATTTTTCCCATGCGTTGAAGTATATATAAGAAGAGTAATTAATGTTCTTATCGTGAAGGACAATCGTCCTCCACACCAAGAGATAAATAATTTATGAAAAGGCATAATGGAGATGTCAATTATGTCCTTACACCTGTTTAATTTTCTAAAGTGCTTAAAGGATTTTGACAAAAGAATTGACACAGGAGATGTGAATTAAAACGTATGGGGCAAATAAATGCAAGTGTTTGTCGGATCGATATAACCTCTACTTTACACGATTTTCTAACTGAATTTCGACACTTCCACCCCAAAGATTAATCGTACATGAGATTGGTATCCGGCTTTACGACATAAGATATAACTCTACAAATTTCAAGAATGAGAAATCCTTTCTTCTGGTCTGTGACGCCTTGTAGACTGGTATATGTTTACCTATGTATCAGAGGAACGCGCTACATTCATCTACTATAAATATGGAGGTAACAAGTTTTCTCCAACTTTTGCAAGGAGCCACTGCGCAGAAAACAGTATTGCTCATTGTCACCGGCCTTAGAACCTCAATTTGCAGCCCTTCCATGAAATATTTCTATACGGTTACGGAGATAATGGCCCAAGAAAAGTGTGGTCTTCTGGCAGGTCCAAGCACTGTACCTCGCTGTACCTCTCAGCTGAGAGCCCTTATCTATGTTTGTCCTTGAGTGCGATGATACTTCCTAGCCGTGCTTATGTAGTTGGCTCATACCAGAACGCGCAGTCAGCACGTTACGTCATCGCTCGCCAGTCATGTGTTATGTATACTGCTTGGAAACCTAAGGACAATTATGACATGGCGAGCGAGTATTTTGTACTTCAATTTTATGGCTTTCCGTCACTCACAAGTTGGTTTGATGTTACGTACATTATTAACATTACAGAATCCACATATTCCTGCCAGTTTTAATATGTATTTTGTAATCAACAAGTGTGTAACCCCGGTCAAAGTTTGACACTTCTCGGGCCATTATCTCCGTAACCGTTCAACTTTGGACATAGGTGTTTTGGGTTATATCGGCATACTTTAACATAAGGAACACCCTCCCGAAGTTTGGCACATTCCTCCTGGGACACCCTGTATATAATATTTACTTAGAGAAATATATTGAAAATTAATTTCTGGCCCATAAACAAACAAAGACAAACTCCGTTAGTCCGCAAGCGAACTATACTGACCGAGCGATAGCCGCTTGTCGGCGAAGTTAGTGCCAACTTTTGCGGATAGAGGGTGTCGCGTGGTCAGCGCAACAGATCCCCACGGCCGTTAATCTTGGTTTTCTAGACCGGAGCCGCTGTTTCTTTGAAATAGCTCCTCAATTATTCTCATAAGGTTGAGAGAACCCCGTTCCAGACCCATTACTTCTCAGAAAATCTGGTAGCGCCGGGAATCGAACCCGGGGCCTCTGGATCTGTAGCCATAAACTCTGACCACTAGACCGCAGAGGCGGGTATGCACTGAAATATCAGTGCTCTGATTCCCAATAATAGATCTTTATTCGCAATAAAACTACACGTCTTGAAATTATATGTACTCTGCTGGAGCGCATGTTACCACTTCTGTTTAAAAATTGGAGAAGACATGGTTACACTAAAGCACGCAAAATGAAACCAATAAAGTGAAATGTTTGTCAAATCTTTCTGGGGATCATTTGTTGGCTCACCCTGCATGAATGAGTTGGCTCCTGGGTCCGAGCTGGCAGTTCCCGGAGGTTTGTCCTGGGCGAAGTTGATGGCTGATCGCAGGTGGTCATTCTCGCTCTGCAGAGCGTTTACCTCCCTCTTCAGACTCAGTATCAGGGCCTCTCGTGGATCCTACAAGTTGAAAGGTCACTCTGAATTAAATAGTCTTAAGAATGGTAGGTTCCATAGCAGTCGGACAGCCGTCGGATGTAACGAAAGAAGATGCTGCAAGAACAGCCTCCGAAGCAAAGGAACGGGGATGCACCGTTAGGCTNGGGGGGGGCTCGGCTTGGCGCAACATGTCACAATATTGCCACGAGTTCCGTGAGACTCGGGACCAAGATTCACTGTGCTGGCGAGGACCAGCAGCAATTTAGTGGACTGGACTGAACTGTAAGCATTAGATTACTTATGTAAGATTTGAGGTTTTCACGGCGGTGACTATGAAGAAAGCAGTCTTCTGGGATGTGCCGTGTAGATATTGTGTTAACCGACGTTTCGGAGGAACGTATCGCCTTCATTTTTAGGGTAGAAAAAAAGAAGAAATCCGCGAGCGAACCAGCGTGAGCAGGCGCAACAGTCTGTTGCGAAGTAATATGAAGTATGAAAATTGCAAAAAGCACATTTGTAAATTATGCGGGGTGTATCTTCATACTGTTCTTTTATGGTTCCGAAATGTCACATCTTACTCTGAGTAGAAAACAACGATGTTAAATTTAATAAAGATTTATCAGCTACAGAATTTTATACAGTATATTATCAAAATTATCAAAGATTGACAAAAGAAGTAACTCTAGAACACTAGAAATAATATAGAATTATTGCAGGAATACCCAGACAGTATTTTTTACTCCGTAATAAGTATGAAGAAGACGTAAGAAGATGCTGGATGACCTTGGGGACAGAAGAGGATATTTTCATTTGCAGGAGAAAGCTCTAGATCGCATAAAGTGGAGGAACTGTTTTGGAAGAGACTGTGGACCTATCGTCTTGACAGATTACAGATGAATGAATGAATGAATAAGTATGAATTCAAATTCTTTGCAATACTGTGCTCCGAATGGTATGATTCACTTACCATGACGACAATTGGCTTGGTCCTGATCTTCTTCGCCCTGGCTGCGTAACGCAGTGTGTTTATTGTCTCGCTAACATTGGACCGCGCAGGGGAAATGCAAGCGATCTGAAAAAAATAATTGATAGATCCTTTATTTAACAACTTTTAAGCTATTATATGTATACAGTGGCCCTCTTGTAGTGCACTCAATTTCACCTCTCACTTCACAACATGTTTCGGCAACATAGTGCCATCATCAGGTGTCCCAATTACGTCAATCTATTGCTTGCCTTCATATGTTTTCACAACACCATTTAAAAACTATTTAAAAAGTCCGTATTTGTCAACTATGATAAAAGTACACTCGTTAAAACTTGTTAAGATAATTTATCTTATTTGTCTTAATTAAAACTTGCATGTGGTTCCTTCACTACGGGGTCTTTTTCCTTATTTTCTGCGTAAACCGCGTCTTCTGATGTGTGTTCCCTTATTAGCTGCGAGTGTTGTAAGCTTTCAAGCTGCTTAGGGCATACAGCGGTGAAATGAAGGTACAGTCCCAGTATTTATCTGTAGGGACTGAACTGAACCAAGATGAAAAATTCTGTTACTAATGTCAACTTCTGAGCCGTGAATTCAACCCAGGACCTTCCGAATACTAAGCACGAGGAATGAACACTCATCTGGGAAGTATTGAGGAATAAACTGCACAGGGAAGGAATATGACTTCCGATATAAATAGGAAAGGTACTTCTCTGGAGCTATTCAAACGGATTTCAATGAAGTATCTTAACAGGTCATGCATTCTAAAGGTAGTCTGCACCGGCACAATATCCCCCTTACTATACAGAGTGCTGGCTTTGAGCTTCATATATTCTTGAGCTGATCCTCACCCGAAACGTCGGACTATGATAAAACTACGTCCAGTTAAGATCTACCATTTTATGAACGCATTTTGATATGGTATATATTTACTACCCGTTCACGGTAGCCGGGCGGTATAGGGCATGTACTGTTTTCTCTCGCTCGGAAACCAGGATCGTGGGTTCGATTCCCAAACAAGGCATGGATATTTTGTATGTATTTATTCTGTTTTTGTGTTCCCCTCTGCTTAGATATAGGCCTTGCGACGAGCTGATCACTCGTCCAAGGAGTCCTACCGTCTGTAAAATTGATCATGAAATTGAAAAATCAGAGGCCAGAGCCCAAGGGGGCTGTAGAGCCAGTGAAAAATGACATATATATATTTACAAAACTAAACGGGAAAAATTAATATTTGTGTAATTTATTGAGAGTATGATTGATTTTGCAACAACTGCAATTGTATCGGAAAGAAACTCCAATAGAAACCGATGAAGGAGGTATCTGAGACTGCAAAGAACTTATAGGAGAAAAGGCATTCTCGTGCAGTATATACTAAAATAATTTAGAGCTCAGTTTACGGAAGTAACTCCAAGTTATTAATCAGTTTGAACCTCCTTCATTATCAGCAGATCGTCCTATTTCTCACGTGATCTGTAAATAATTGAAGTGGTCGTTTTGTCAGCGGTGCGAGATTTGATTAAGAGCGAACAGAAGACAGTTCACTATGACGGGATCAGGAAACTCACCACCACGAAGCCAAATGCGCTAACCCTTTAAAGCCCAGTGGTTTCTATAAAGAGTGTGTCCAGGCTCTGTTAGGACTGTGTTCATTAAAAATACAAGATGTGAATTACTCGTATTTTCAAAATTTCACTTTTTTATTCAGAATAGTCTCCTGAACCAGTACATAGCTGGAATCAATTGAAAAGTTTTCGAAAACAGTCACTGTACTCCTTTTGTGGAATCGCATTTAAAACTGCGGTAGATTCCCTTTGGATGTCCTGGATGGTGTCGTGACGGTCTCCTTTCATCGCCAACTTAACTTTTGTGAACAACCAGAAATCTACTGGAGCCAAATCTGGCGAATACGAGGATGATCAAGGACTGTGATCCCTTTTCTGGCCAAAAAATCGCGCACGATCTTCGTTTTGTGGGGTGGGGCATTGTCGTCGAGGAGCGACCAGGAACCTTGCTCTCGATATTCAGGTCGAATTCGAAGAATTCTCGCCAACAAACAATTGAGGTCTCCGAGATAATAATCAGGATTCACTGTTTGAGCTTCTGGTAGAAATTCCTTGTGAATGATTCCTTTGGAATCGAAGAAAACGGTTAGCAGTGTTTTACTCGACTCTTTTGCATGCGCACTTTGATTTCGGCTTCTTTGGGCTCAACCACGCGGCACTCTGCACTCTACCGCTTTCTGAGAGGCTCATATTGAAAACACCATGTCTCGTCACCATTAACAATCGATTTTGTAAATTTTGTATCACTTTGGGCCGACCGCAACATGTCTTTGCAGTGTTCCACTCTGGCATGTTTTTCATCGCCTGACAGCACGTGTGGTACAAACTGCCCACAGACCTTCCGTTCTCCCAAAATTTGATGCACAGAATTTTTTGGTATTCCCAGAAGATCCTCGATGAGTCTTGCAGAAACACATCTGTCTGATGCAAGGATTTCCGTCACTTTTTTCACATTTTCTTCAGTGCGACTTGTTCTCGGCTTTGATGCACTTGGAGCGTCTTCAATGTCCTCCCTGCTGTCACGAAATGCAGCATACCATAGAAAAATGTTCGAGTGGATCAAAGAATCACTACCGTACACACTTTTCATCATTTCGTTCGCTTCTCCGGCTGTTTTGCCTAACTTCAAACAAAATTTGATATTGGCTCTCTGTTCAACCGCCATTTTCCGACGAGCGTCAGAACAGTACTGTTACATTCAAGGTCAGAACACATGATGCAGCGATGTTTGCGCTTTGAAATTATAGACAGCCACAGCTGAAATTTCAAGAATCTTAACGCCACAACTCGCCAACAAATGGCATTGCAGGGCAAATTAAAAAAAAAATTAGTCCTAATGGATCCTGGACACACCGTGCATGTACCATCTGCTCTGACATACTAAAACTCTACATTCTGTCCGCAGAGTGTAGTTGTATATTTCGACTGAGTCTCATAAAAACAGCCATCATAACCCTATACAGCATGAACATGTTGGTCTCTGTAGCAGATACGTAATGTATTTCCTGTGAGGTACGAACTGAATATTTATATATTATCACGTGTATCAGTGACTAAGCCACGGGTTTGGCTTGGTAATTAGATTTATTAACAACCTACAGGCAGTAAATACATATAATTATAATACTGCTACTGATTTTCACACTACAATGCACTCCACGCTGATCTCTTCAGTTTATCTGCACTAGTGTTCACGGATTTATAATACAGGAACTTCAAAATTCTCACTTCCAGTATCACTGCACTATAGCGCACATAAAGTCTTAAAATCACACGTTAAACCTTCACAGGCTGGTTTCTTGTACTCGTCTGTACTCCTTGAGCTTAATTGTTTCTTGCTTGTTCGCATCGTTGACAAGATCCGTTACAATATTATTTGGAAAAAAATCAGTCTTTAAAGGTTAAATATCAAGGCATTCTAAAGGAACGTAAGATATGTCTGGCTACTGTGTAATTATACGTACTGTCAATAATCATATGTTGATTTTTTACTTACCTCTGTATATCGAGTTCAGCGGTTTTCAGATTCAAGCGAAGAAAATTAACCTGGCAATGTGTCACATGTTCAGATATATGTGTATTAGCCTCAAACGGAAACCTGCGTTTGGGTCATCCCGACATAAAAAAATATGTTCTACATCACTGTCTGAGCCCGACGGTTTTGAAATTCAAACAAAAGAGATTAGAAGATTACTATTCGTATCATCTAAGAGACTAACCGCTTGAGCTATGGCGCGGCCTGCTGACTTCTCTGTAAGGCAAGTTTACTAATCTGAAGGTGCTCTTGAATTGTACGCGACGCAGCTTCGGGAACCGACAGAATGGAAGTAACGCCATGTAGTCCATTGAAAGTCAACCGACGTTTCGGAAGAACATGTCGCTTCCGTCTTCAGGGTCGAATAAACCAGAGTGACCCTCGGCTTTCCACCTGATTTCACTCTGGTATCTTGGTCAGCTTATTCGACCTTCAAGATGGCAGATATGTTCCTCCGAAACGTTGGTTGACTTTCAACGAACTATAAGACGTTATATCCCAGAAGATAGTAAACTTCTTAACAACCACTACGAGAAACTGAAATTCTACAAAATAAATTAGATTTGGTGTGTGTCATACGATAGATAACTGGACTGAAAAGGGAAGCTTTGTCGGGCTCATCACGACATTCGAAAGATCACGCTCCAGTCCAATGTCCGAACACTGACCATAAGGGTGACACCGTTTCCGGCAAGGCTGTCTGCCAGGAGCTTCGTCAGCTTGCTGTCCCGGTACGGGATGTGGCCTCCTTTCTTGCGTGAGTCGCTGAGTGAAGCAATGCAGTACCCTGAAACACCGCGAGATACACACTCAGTACACATGTACATTCTCAATTTAGGAATACATATGAAGTAACTCTTTCCAGCACATTAATTCCTTCTGCACGCATCCCAATCCTAACATACGCATCGGAAACGTGGGTATTGTCTATATTTAGTGAAAAATCTCCTACTATCTTGGAAGGATAAGTTTTGAGGTCCATATATGGCGCGAAACAACAATGAATGTGGAATCAGGTACAATTAACGAATTGTATGCTTTGTATTAGGACAAGGGTAGGTTGAAATGGGCTGGTCATGTTGTTCGAATGGACCAGCAACAACCGGCGAAAAGAATTCTTGTTGTCAAACCAGAAGGCAGACGAAAGAAAGGAAGGCCTGAACTGAGATGGGAATACAGAGTGGACAACGATATTAAAACTGCGATGGAAATAAACTAGAAAAATATAATCACGAGTAGATAAATCTGGCAGAATCTTCTAAATGCTAAGGTTCAAAAGGACTGTTTTGCCAAAGATGATGATGAGAATGTAACCCAATAGTAAAATAAATTGACATCTACAGACTGTTCTGTTACAGGGAATTTCTGTTACCCTGTATAGAGGATAAGCACCATCAGCTAGACGTGCACTGAAACAGAATGCATGGACTTACCATCACCGTAGCTAGAGAAAACGCTCGTGGTTTCACAAAATCTTTCGACTCCACAAGTAGACGACCGGCTTATTTTGACACTCTGAGGCGTCTAACAGTTCGCTCTGTACAGGCTTCATGTCCTAGTGCTGATACGAACGACGTAAAGAATTATTAACTTATTCGTTTGTCGCCTTGACCTCGACGATTGCTTCCAATAAAAGGATTCTGAAATATTGATGAAACCTTGTGCTTCATCACTGTCAGTGTGGGGAGGCGTCCAAATAAGAGGGGGAGGGGGGGCTGTAAGAAACTGGGTTCAGGTATCGCATTATGTCATTAAAATTGCAAGTGGTCGTGTGTAGACATGCGACATGTTCGCGTGCTGACTTCAGACCAGATGACTGACCATTCTCGACTGGCTCCAGGCTTCAGATCTAGCCAAGCACTGATCAGCTGGGATGTGTTACTGCCTGTACACTTAAGTGTTGAAGTTTATACATTCCTTCTCCTCATACGAGTACACACTGCTCTTTTTATTATTCTGCTACTTATATTCTATCTTCTCTTCTTATCCTTGGTATCCATCTCTCTCTATACATTGAACTTAAGTCTGTATATTCTTCCTCCCTCAAATCCTCGTTTTCTGTTCACTTCCTTTCCGATTTTCTTCATAAGCTCACATATTATCCGTGTCCTCCTTCGCCCTTCTTCCGTTTTTATCCTGCTCTTCCTTCCCCTTATTTCTTCTTATTCTTTCTTCGTGTATCTTCTTAGCTTCAATTCCCCCCCCCCATTCTTGTTGTTGTTCGACTTTCTCCATTTCTTCTCCTTCAGGTCTGTCTTTTTCTAAACTGAAAAATTTTTTCCCTCGTTCTCTTGTTACTTTATTTTATCTTTTGTCTTGAGTTTCTCTCTTCTATGGTTTCTCCATCAACGCCAGACAGGCTTGTCTTAGCTTCATTCCCATGTTCTGATAGTGGAATGTAAATGCCGTTACCCAGCAAACAACTGATGGACTTTCATGGAACTTGCTGCAGAAATTTGCTATAATAATATCAACAAGGTGGCCGTGAAACGTCTGACGAGGAAGCCATATTGTTGCTGCTTCTCACCTTGCCTATCAACGTTATGTGGTGATACACCATCAATTAATATTGACGTTTTATTAAGGTAATTGATTTTGGAGAATGTAAGGCAACAAGCCGACCGCTCCCTGAATCAGTGTACATAATTAACTTTGATAACGGTTACAAAGGATCCACTAAGGAAACTTGTATGCGTATAGACCACAAATATATGTATACACTTCATATGAAATATTCTTTCGTATCTGCAGAAAGACAACACAGAAATAAATACCTAACTACCGTATTTACACATGTATAGGCCGCACATTTTTTGCCAAAAATTCAAGAGGAAAACTGGGGTGCGGCTTATATTCGAAATATTCGAAATCACACTTCATTTAAAAAAATATATTCATAATTTTTTCGGAATAATTTCTACTCCTGAAATAATATTCCAAGAAAATTATTTTTTCTATAATTTCTGTCTGAAAATTGTGCTGCGGCCTATACATGCGTAAATACGGTAATTCCTCTAAGTCATACGAAGTCCTCTATACATAAGAACTCGTTCTCTTGAAAGCAGGCCCGTAAATTACTCAAAGAACTTTGCTTCTCACTTCTTTGTTTTGTAATGCGGCTCTTAAAGTTATCATACGCAAAGCTACAGAAAAGCAAAATTTCCTCTGTGCGTAATTAAGCACAACGTCAAAAAGACGTGTACGATGCTGGAGATATAAACTCATGCATTCTTAACCTGGGCACTAGATGGAAGTGAGCGGTCAGCTTAACACGTATGCCGATTTACTCCAGGATAAAGTTATAACCTAACATCATAAGTTCAGTTTTAATTTTGTCAGTACTTCAAGACTCGTTTTTAGAGCAAATTCATGTGAGTGCGTGTATGGTTCTTCAGAAAACAGTTGAACACTGAGCATTAATGGAGTACCACATGGCCTTCCAGCTCATTTCGTTTTAACATCGATTCTTCGAGTCCATGCGTGTCAGAAAGGACGAAAACTTGAGTGGTGAGTATATGATCATGGTAAAAGCTAAGGTAAAGTTGTCCCTGTGCTTAACTAATTAAGCACCATGCCATGAAGTCGTATGGGGAAGTGGATGTATAGATCCACATTTTCTTGACCTCGACACTAGCTGGAGGTGAGTGGTCAGCTTCACGCGGCAATGACTTTATCCTCCGGGTTAAGAGCCCCAGTACCCATTGGGTAGGAGGTTGGGTGGGTCTGGACCCTGTGCAATAGAGAACAATTTCTTGCTTCTTCCAGGATTTTGGACCCTATCGTCCATTCAGTAGCTCGCTGTTGCACTTGATATTATGTCATGGGTCAGCTTCTAGTAGGATAATACGCAAAATATGAATTAAATTTGTCCCTGTTCACAGTGATCGCCACGCCATAGAGACTTGTGGAGAGTAGAAGTATATCTGTGTGAATTTTTATGTGAGTCCGTACCAAATGAGGGTGGGTGGTGAACTTGAAGCACCGGCTGTTTTATACCCAGCGAAAGCCCTCCCGGTACCCACCGAATAGGCTGGTGGCCTCAGAACCGGCTTCAACGCTGCAGAGAAGAGAAAATTCTCCCGTCCGTGCCTACAATCGAGAACACATTCCTCTTCCATCTATTAAAGAGCCGAGATAGCTCAGTCGGTAAAGCAACTGGCTATGACCTGGACGACCAAGGGATCGGAGTTCCAGTCCCGGTGGGGGGCAAGAATTTTAGCTTCCCCATGTCGTCCAGACTGACTATGGAGTCCACCCAGCCTCCTACCTAATGGTTACCAGGGGCTTTTCCCCCGGGGGTAAAACTGCAGGGGCATGAAGCTGACCACTCACCTCCAGCTAGTGCTGAGGTCAAGAAAATATGGATCTATACATCCACTCCCCCATACGCCTTCATGGCTTAGTGCTTAATTAGATGAACACATGGGACAACTTTACTTTTTTACCTAACCCCGTAAACTAGTCACTGTACTGACTGAGCTATTCTAGCCCCACGATGAGGTACATCGATACAAACATACAGTTTAACTCGTGTTTCATATAAATTAGAGATTTCTAGTGAAATACCCGTCGAAAAATAAACACTTTCAGCAAAATTAATATTTGACCTTAATTTTTATGCCCCGGAACCTGAAAATCCCTTGAAAATATTAAAAGATATTGAAAGACCGAAGACCTTAGGAGCGACGTGTGATAGTACCGGGAATACGTTTGAAGGATGGTCCCTGCCCGTAATTCTAGGGACTGCAGGTAGATTCGGAAGGCGAACACTGCCAATGTGGCTAAAATCACTAAAATTGACAACATTCTTCTCTGTCTTTTACACAGTCACTCTGGTTACAAGTGCCACAGCTCCTAGTATATCTCTTTTTATTAAGAGAAGCTGGCTTATAATGATAAAGCAGTAGCGTCCTTTTTGGTTTCATAACTTGGCGTTGATCCACACGTGATACCAGTGCCTGATTTACAACTGTGTGGGCCTCGGCGCAATCGAAATGTTGAGGTCCCCATTAGTAACAAAAAAATTGTCATGAAAACTTTTTTTTTTATTTTTTACAATAACTAAAAATATAAGACAACATTTTGTGTTTTAGAGAAGTAAATGTCTTAACAAAATCTGTGCATTCCATTTCTGGTTTGTGGAGGGCCCGGTCGCTCCCCCTTACATCCGGTTCTGAATACATCATAGTGCTATACAATATTAGAAAGTAAAAGCTATGTGGCAAGACAAGTGCTCTCGATGCTCAGTCGATTGCAAAACTTTCTGAATGACACTATGTCTTATGGCCGATAATGGTCTCGCGATCAATACCCAACTGAGACCGTGTGATACCGATTTGAATGTCACTATCTATGTACGTGTTCTGTCCCGAAACCAAAGGCATAAACATAATGACATATGACCCACAGAAGTACATACAAAATATGTGTGTTTAGAAACATTATCAACATGTTGAACTTTCATTTGTCTTCCTCGCTCTTGATATTAACAGGCGATGGAAGCATTTTCAAATATGTTTGTTTCTACACCAAAATTTTGTTGTTACGTTCAGGGGAAAGTACATGCAAAATACGTAAAATGAAGGTCTGTTGAGAGTGTTATCTTCTGTATTATAATTGTATAGTTCAGTATAATTCCAGTGACGTTCCAGAGGAGGGCATTGCTTCCATCTTCAGGGTCGAAGAAGAACACAGGTAAGAAACCAGCAATAAGCAGGCTGAAATGGATCCGCTTGTCGCCTCATTATTTCTGATTTCTTGCTTAGTTTACTCTTCGACCATGAAAATGGAAGCGATATTTTTCTCCGAAATATCGGTGGACATCCACTAAACTATACGGCGTTACAATCCAGAAGATAACCTCCTCATAGTCACAGCTGAGAGAGTATCAAACTCATCAAATATCTGGTAAGTTAGATTAAGGAATTATGAAGTTCACTCCAGTCGGGAACAAGTTTACAGATACCTACAAACTACGCCTCACAATCACTTACTGCTGAATGCCATAGATATGGCACAGACGTTTCGGGAAATTTCTCCAGGCCCTTCTTCAGTCATCAGGCGTTTCTTTTCAACACGACAAACAGCGATAGAAATGGAATATGAACCAAATGAATAGAAAGCAGTGAATGTTCATGCAGCCGATTTTCCGTTAAATTCTTGCTCCTTCTTTCTGTTTATGCAATAAATTAATTTAAATTTTTAAAACTGTTCCTGAGCTTAACTAATTAAACATATGTCGTGAAGACGTATGGGGGAGTGGATGTATAGATCCACGTTCTCTTGACCTGGGTACCAATTGGAGATGAGTGGTCAGCTTCACGCTCCCGGTACCCATTGGATAGGAGACTGGTTGTGCTCCAGGGTCGGTATGGAAGACGTGGAGAAGAGAAAATTCTTAACCATACAGAGACTCGAACTCCGACCGCTCCATCGTCCAGCCCGTAGCCAGTCACTATACCGATTGCGCTAACCCAGCTCTATATGTATGCTATAAATATTTTAATTCGTTGGAGGTAATTATACAGTAGCTCTCTCCCTGTTTTCACGTTCTCGATACAACAGTTTTCCGTTCAATTCAGGTTCCATTAACGACAGGTTTTACTACAATTTTTACCGCTACGTTAACTTCTCGTCTTCAATTTCTGTTCACTATTCTGCAGGAAACGTTACACTAGATGTGTCACAGGACCCGCATGTACATGTCTTCCGTTAGGTGTCCGTTTCAGTCATTGAATTTAGTGGCACTTACCAAGGACCATGAGGGACTTGTTGATGTTGTTGGCCTCCTCTAGCGTCTTCCCTTCGCTGTGCGTCTTCTTGGTCATTTCGCTACCCGCCAAGTCAACGAAGTTTATCTTCCCCTGTTTGGAAATGAAGACGCCATCTTCTCCCATCTGTCAATGGAAAACAATGGGCATCGTCATCAGCATCAGGGTTTGTCACGTTTCAGTGGAGTTGATTGACACAACACACAGAATGCCATAAGTAATATTAAGTTTAACGTTCAATATTAAGGCAGTTATGTCAGGCAGTAAAATGCCACAATATAAAATAACACATGATGAGAAAGCATATATTAAAAAAGTCGCGAATGCTAAATGTATCATGGAAAATAGACAATGTTCAACATAATATACTCTTAATGATTCGGCCATTCTCACAGATCTTCAGGCAATCAAGCATATTACTGCTTCAATATGGTAGGGGTATAATTATTTTTAGAATGATCAAGTCAAGGAGAATGAGATGGGCAGGATATGTAGCACACATAAGAGTGGATGCCTTTAGGGTTTTGATAGGAGAATCAAATAAAAGTACCAATAGCAAGGGCTAGACGTAGATTGTAGGATAATATTTTGACGCATATGTCCATTGCTAGGCAATGGCTCGGTAAATACATTCCCGCAACATACGTGCTCAAAAATAGAAGGACATCCATTGCTCTGTAGCGGACCGGTAGACGCGCATTCTGGAAATCAGTAAATGTCCACTGCTAGACAATGGACGTGTTTTCTATGGAGTCCGCTCCGAGGCTGTGGAAGAGTGAGTGACTAGCTACAGTATCTCAACCCACTGCCTCGCATATTATAACCTTGAATTTGTAACAGTCCTAACCTTGCAACGCTTGGCCATACGATGTACAGGGGGGTATGAGAAGGGTACCGATCTTGTAAGTGCCCCCTAAAGAATCAATTGGTTTCAAGGTTATTAATTTGTATTATCTGACTGACACATCCGGAACTAACGTGAGGGGCAAGGCAGGCAGGTCAACACATAAAGAACTTGCAGACACTCACCTGCTGCTCGGATGTGATGTGAACGGTCAGGATCGTGTGGCTGCGACTGGAATAGTCATTCATGTTGTGTCGTCCCACCGAACGGTTCCTCATACCTGGCACACATCACAAAGCTGTGTGTTAGATAGGATCCACAGTATACGTTATCCTTCGAGGAGTAGGACACATTTCTTTCCTCAAAAATAAGTCTAAAATTACTCTTCGTCTCTTACAATAAAAGTCTGAAATATCAGCCTATATACAGGTTAGATTTACTTTTCAAATCGCAACGCATTTTATAAACCAGTAAACACGCCAATCCTTTTATGCCCTTCAGCGCAAGTCCGAACGTTACGTCGGACAGTAGCACTGTAATGTCCGGGAGGTCGGATCTCAGCAGTACACAAACATGTAGACTTCTGTACGTTGATAATTTTCAGTGTCCACTTGTGTCTCAGGTAGTTGGAGAAATAAATGATGAATAAGCAGAAGAAGAGGGAGAAGAAAAAAAAGAAATAAAGAAATAAAATAATATCAAGAAAACTCCGTGGCCTGTAGTCGGCAAGCGAACTATACTTACCGAGCGACCGCCACTTGTCGGCGAAGTTAGTGCCAGCTTTTGTGGATAGAGAGTGTCGCGTGTTCAGCGCAACGGATCCCCACGGCCGTTAATCTTGTGGTTCTAGACCGGAAAAGAATATCAAGAAAAGGACAAAAAAAAACAAAGGGTTGAAAACAGGACCAAGAAGGTGACGGAGAAGAAGACTGATAAATAGGATGAGAAGAAACACAAGTTAAGTGTTTTTATATGAAATCACATAAATATTCCTATTTACCCTGCAAACCGTCGCTCAAAGTTTGGGTCCATAAAAGAATGAAGTCTCTATTACCTGCAGATCAACCACGTCTTCTAATAGTTTACACCCGTCAACGCAAACGAGGCTTTGACGGCCGAGTCATGGCGGTATAACCATCACTTTTATGCGAGTTAAAATGAAGAACATCATAAAATTACCTTCTTCCAGCACAGCCAGAAGGTCGTCTAGCTCTTCGCAGTCCACGGTGAACAGGTTCTCTACGAAGAAACCCCTCGACTTCTTCGACCACCGCACAGCCAGGGGTTTCCGTGCGGTGCCAGGGTTTAGGAGATCGATGACCTGCAAATGAATTTATTTTTCCTCCGTCATTTCATTTCTTCAGGCTGTCACTGTGCTTGAGGATCCGGGATAGCTCAGTCGGTACAGCGACTGGTTACGGACTGAACGGCCGAGAGATCGGAGTTCAAGTCCCAGCAGGAACAAGACCTTTGTCCTCTACACGTCGTCCAGACCGGTTCTGGGGCCCAACAGACCTCCTATTAAACGGGTACCGAGGGCTCTTTCTCCGAGGGTAAAGCGGCCGGGGAGTGAAGCTGACCACTCCCCTCCAACAAGTGCTGAATCCATTCTTCCCCGACCCGTCTTCATGGCATAGTGCTTTATTATTTAAGCACAGAGACAACTTTGTACATTTCTGTTGCCCCCTGTGTTTAATTAAGGGGCACGCAGTAGCGTCGTTGGTTGAGGTGAAATGCTATAAACCAGAAGGTCACGGGTTCGAGTCACGATGAGGTGAAATTTTCAATTTACCTAATCATTCCAGCCGCACTATGGACCTGGGGTCAACTTAGCCTCTAACAGAAATGAGTACCAGAAATCTTCCTGGGGGTAAAGCGCGGCCGACACGTAGGGCTGAAAACCTTACCGCCATCTTTGAGCCGATTGCCTAGACAAAGTGTGGGAGCCTCGACGTCTTACAAACCTATGGGCCTTCACGGCCTGTTACAGGGATAGTTTTACTTACTTTACTTTTTTAGTATGTTTAATTAAACGCTTCTTCATGAAGACGTAAAGAATGGACGAGAGTCATCATGTTAGCTCCCTAGAGCTTATGGGAAACAGCCAAATAGGATAGGACGCTGTGTCTACCTCAGGATCAGGCTGGCTGCAGTGGTGAAAAGGAAAATTCCTACTCTGGCCGAGAATCGAACTCAGGTTATCCAGCCTAATTACTATACGGACTGAGCAAGTTTAGCTACTTCAGTTTATTTGTAACAGTAACTCTGTCTCTTAGATGTCAAGGCGCGTTCACATTACTCGTGCTCGTGCTCGTCAGCCTTGAGTTCGTAAAACTTCGTCCACACTACTTCAGTTGCTCGCCAGGCTACGGCGGGTGAGGATCCATATATTTACTCGTAGTGTGTATAGGCTGTAGTCGTATTTTAATTTATTGGCTATAGTTTTTAAATTAAAAATTTAAATGATATAATGATAAAAACTCCGTCTCAAGGGCAAACAATATATTTTGTGTCTTTGATCTTGTTCCCCTACACTACATGTTTCGGCCTCAGACGGCCATCATCAGGTGTATAACACTCACGTCGCTGTCACACTGCACCCAGCTCAAAATTTAACATCTAAAACACTCTCCCTGTCATTATCAACTTC